GATTTTTAGCTGCCCGGCAATACTATTTTTAAAGACAATTAGGGAAAAACTGAGTATAGCCGTCCGGCTATACCGTTTAAAAATATATATATTATTTTTATTCAATAGTATGTGAAAATTATGTGTATAATACGTGAATTTTGTGTGTCTTATTAAATTTTTTGTAAAAAATAGGTGTATTAAACACTAGAAATATGTATGTACGTGTATAGTACATTATTAAACATAAATGTGTTAGAATCTTTATACGGGTAATAACTCTAAAAAAGTAAAAAATGAAAAAGGGACATTACATACTCGAGTAATTAGGGGTGGCATTTTAGATCGAAAAACCGCAAAAACCAATCGATAATTTACCGTAATCGTGGGAAACCGAACCGCATTTGCGATATGAAGAACCGAACTGCATTTGCGGTTACGGTATTTGATTTTCAAAATTTGCGGTTACCGCAAACCGAGACTATTTTTTTTATAAAAAAAATATGCATTTTGTAAATAGCATTAGTGCTCAAACAACACAACGGGGTCCTTCAAATCCACTCACCATCACCAACACTTAAGTTTGTAACTTTAGTTTGTAACATTGGTGCATTGCATTTTCCTTTTCGTTTGTAACTTTAATTAACTTTGAATTGGATTTTTCCTTTGAGTTGTAACTTTAATTCATTTTGCATTGCATTTTCCTTTTAGTTTGTAACTTTAAAGGATTTGGAATTGGAATGCTTGAGAAGTTGAGGTTGTGAATGCTTGAGAAGTTCAACTTTAATTGGAATGCTTGGAATTGTAACTTTAATTTTCTTTAGGTTGTGAATGCTTGAGAAGTTGAGGAGGTTGTGAATTTAGTTATTTAGGTTGTGAATTTATATTTTTGGGTTAAAGTATGCTTGAACTCAAAAGGCTTCAAAAGAAGCATCAAAATTAGACCTAAAATGTGGAAGATTGGATTTTTATTACACAAAAAGAACTTGCGGTTTTAAACCGCTAATTCACGATAACTGACCGCTTTTTGCGGTTTTAAAAATCACCATACTGCAAATTGTCGGTCAGTTTGCAGTTTGGGCAAAAATTCGCGGTTACTGAATCGCAACCACCCCTACGAGTAATGGCCTAATAGTAATGGATAGGACTCTTGGGCTATGGAGAAATTTAATTAGGATACCCAAACGATTTCACAAAAGACTTAGTAAATACAAATTAATTATTTTGTGGACTTTTTCTATAATTTTTTTTAATAATTAAATATTACTAATTAAAGTAATTCAAAAAGGCTAAGATATTACTTAATTACATATATTAAATTAAAGAAGTAGGCCAAAAAACAAAAGTAAAGAAACTAATTATATGTATTTTAAATTTAAAAAAGAAAAAAAAACCTGTCCCGACGAAAGTTCGTCGACACAGGTCTATGCCGGCAAAATATCCCGGATTAAATTTTCTTTTTTTAATGGTATAGCCGAACGGCTATACTCTTTGTATACTTAAAAAAAAAAGGACGTACCCAATGCATAGGTGCCACGTGTCAGCACAGTAAAGCCGGGCAGCTATACTTTTTTAAAAAAAGTAAAAATGGGTATAGCCGCCCGGCTAGACTATTTCTTTTAAAAAGTAAAAAGAAATCTAGTATAGCCGGCCGCATATACGCCACGTGTCAAACAAGAACAGCCGTGCGGCTATACTATTTTTGTTTTTAAAAAAAGAATTACTATTAGAGTTTCCCACAAACGTGGCTCAATTTTTATTTTATTTTTTCCATAGAATTACAACAAGGGCATTACTCAAGTTTAACACTCCCCCTTAATGCCTTCTTGTTGAACTCCCATCAAAGCTCTCAAGTATTGAAACTTGTCCTTTGGCAACGCCTTGGCGAAGATGTTAGCTACTTGCTCATCTGTCCTGCGGTAGACCACATCAACATCCCTCTCTTCAACAGCATCTCTTATGAAGTGATGCTTGATTGCATAGTGCTTGGTTCTTCCAAGGAAGACTGGATTCTTGGCCATTGCAATTGCTGATTTACTGTCACAAAGAATAGGAGTTGGCCCCTCTTTCTTCTCACCAAGATCTTCTAAAATCTTCCTCATCCATATAGCTTGAGAAGTTGCCAAAGCTGCTGATACATACTCAGCTTCTGCAGTAGATTGAGCAACAGTTTGTTGCTTCTTGGAAGCCCATGAAAATACACCAGAACCCAAAGGATATGCATATCCTGATGTGCCCTTCATATCACCTATGCTGCCACCCCAATCAATATCACAAAATCCAAATAGCTTTGGCTCAACCTTCCTCTCATATACAATGTCAAAATCTAATGAACCTTGTATGTACCTCATAATTCTCTTAGCAGTTCCACGATGAATTTGAGTTGGTTTGTTCATAAACCTCAATAGCAAAGAAGTAGCATATATAATATTCGGCCTTGTAGCCGTCAAATACATCAAGCTCTCAACAATGCTTCTAAAATTTGAGGCATCTACCTCATCACTTGCATCTTCTTTTTCTAGTTTTTCGTTAGCCACTAGAGGTGTAGCAACACACTTACATCCTCTCATTCCAAACTTCTCAAGGAGACTTTTAGCATACTTTTCTTGAGACACAAAGATGCTATCATTACTTTGACAAACACTAATTCCCAGAAAATGATGCAACAACCCTAAATCACTCATTTCATACTTTTTCATCATATCTCTCTTGAATTCAGAAATCATTTTTTCACAACTTCTAGTAAACACCAAATCATCAACATAAACAGAGACAATAAGGATTTTTGAGTTACCTTCAGTCTTGATGTACAAAGTAGTATCACTCTTGCTTCTTTGAAAACCATTGTTGATGAAGTAAGCATCTATCTCCACATACCATGGACGAGGTGCTTGCTTCAACCCATAAAGTTCTTTCTTTAACTTGTACACTTTCATTTCTTCTTCTTTGATGACAAAGCCTTGTGGGTCGCCTTTTGCAACTAGCCTTGTCTTGTTTTTTTTGGATAGAACCATCCAAATTCAACTTTGTCTAATTAATCCACTTTACACCTATGACATCTTTATCACTGGGTCTATCCATTAATTCCCAAGTGGAATTCTTCTCTATCACAAAAATTTCTTCCTCCATAGCTTTCTTCCAAGCTACCTCATTCACTGCTTCTTCAAAACTCTCTGGTTCAATACATAGAAGTTACACCTAGCAAACACACCACTGAGATTCCTTATCTTCATTAGAATTGAACTAGGCGAAGAAGTTTGTGACCGTGATGTTGAAGAGCTTGCTGCTTGATGAGATTGAGGTGTTGAAGGACTTGCAACTTGTGGAGATTGTGGTGGAGTGTAAATTCCTTCCTCTTCATTCTCTTCTACTTCAATGTCATTATTAACATGAAGTGGAAAACGTTGGACTGATTTGTTCTTCCAATCCCAACATGCTTCTTCATTGAAAACAACAACACCAGAAATGATCACTTTCTTTTTCTTCAAGTCATAGAGCCTATAGCCCTTTGTATGACTACTGTATCCCCCAAAAATACACTTATCACTGTTCTCTTCAAGTTTGTGCCTGAGGTTCTTGGGAACATGAACATAACCAAGGTGGTTCAACTACATCCACATTCCTTGCAACCGAAGTAGAATACTTCATTTGAAGTGGAAAGCTTCTATTTCCTTTCCTTCTAACCGTTGCAATAACCTGACTTTTGTCCTTTTTATCAAATATGTCACAGAAGTCGTCTCCAAAGTACACATGATGACCATTCTCATTCAACTGGCCAATACTTAGCAAATTTTGATCAAGATCCGGAACAAGCATCACATCCCTGATGAATCTTCTTCCCTTCTCTGTTTTTTTTGCTACCGTGCCCATTCCAATCACATCTACCCACAATGCAACTCCCATCTTGACCTTAGTCTTCTTTGACTCATCAAAGTCACAAAACAGGTTATTGTTGCTTGTCATGTGATTAATAGAACCACTATCAAGAAACCACATATTATCTTCTTTCTTCTCAATTGTAGCTGTCTGACACGGATAGAAAAGGTTGCCTTCATTGCTTCCTTCTTCTACATAGTTAGCACTTTGGTTGGCATTCATTGTGCAATCCTTTTGTATATGACCAAATTTGCCACATCTATAGCATTTTGGTTTCCCTTTGAACCAACAAGTATTCTCAGAATGATTCTTATTTCCACAAACACTGCACAAACGTGGCTCAATCCTTTTTTCTTTCTTCAGAGAATTACAACAAGAGCATTACTCAAGTTTAACATGGAGCTAGTAATTTGACAATACAAAATGGGAAACATCAAACTTTGATATGCAGTAACAACCATATTGAATATTCCTCCAATTATGTTCCACATATAATTGTTTTAACTAACTACACAGAGCAAACCCTAGTTCCTCCCCCCAAAAAGTTTCTCCAGTGTCGCACAGCTTGAGGGGGGAGGAGGAGTTCACTGTTACTCTTCCTCCCTTCTCCCCTTCCTTGCCCCTACTCTATTCCTCCTCTCCTCTCCCTTTTCTATCGATTTGGTGTCCATTTTGGGGGCTCATTTCCCCCTTTTGTGGGTGCTTGCTTGAGGTTTTCTTCTCCTTGCTTGGTCCATCCTCTTTTAAGTTGGGAACCTTACCCTCTTGTGTCGGCAGCGGCAGCAACAACTGTAGCAACAGTAGTGGTTTTGGCGGCATCGACTTTGTTTTTATTTTTGTGTGCTTACAGATTATGTATTTTCCCCAACTATCATCGACGGTTGTGTCTCAGCGTTTGATCTCCATTACCGCCATTGGCTCTTCCAAAATTATATACACATGAAAATTAAGTATAAACAAATATATTGTACAGTAAACTTGAAACTCTTCCTGGTGCTTTAGCTTCACACGAGATCTAGGAGAGCAGAAGAATGAGATTGAAAACACACCAAATGGTCTTGATCGAAAAGGCTCAATCATGCCAACCTTCCAAACTATGTTGCTCGATAAGATTTAATTTATAGTAAACACACCAAAACACTTTCTATCAAATTTCTTTTCTATTGTATGGTCCTAGCAGACACCTTCAAGCAGAAGCAGCTTATTGTTTATAGTATACTCTCCTTTGTCACTAATCAAAATAGGTACAAAGTTTGGAAGCTTTGAGCCTCAGAAGTTGCTTTGATTACGAGTGGTAGGTATCCAAAATGTCTGCAGAGTTGACTATAGTATACGCTAGTGTTAAGCAACAATCAACCAATGTTCGGGAGTCTCTCTCATTCTCACCAACCTTGAACAGTTGGGCAGTTTAGTAATATTCAGTGCTTTCCGCAGACATACTACGCATGAATGATTTTCCAAGAGTTCATATGTAACTTATAATCAACTTCATCATGTCTGATGTTGGTGGTCTTTCAGTTGAACCAGCTTTTACAGTTCCGCCTCCACCACATGAGAGAGAACCATGTGAGACAACTTTCATATCCGTAACAGCAGCCTGCGACATGGAATGTGGTGTCATCTTGGTACAGGTGGCCAGCTGACACTTGTTTTATATCTTATGACATAATGGAAATCATTTACCATGTCTAACTACCGATATAAGACTTCATCACATTATTGCATGGACTACTCCACCAAAGCCTCGAGTGCTTGGTTACAAAAATGTGTGCCTTTCATGCAATTTCGGCCGGTTATATACCAACTTAGCTCTCTTGGCGTCCCAAAGCTTAACATCTCCGTCTTTGCTTCCCGTTAAGAACAAACTGGTATTTGGGATTATAGACATCTTGGTGACACCCCCTTCATTCGGATTCATTCATCAAAAGTTAAATGATAATTGGACAAGGAAATGATAATACAGAGTTAATCTTGCATGAAAATTTGTCAGGTTATACCTGAGTGAGCCTTTGGTATATACCAAAGCATTCCATTTTGACTTTGTTCCCCAAATTTGGTACTATTTCCAGGATGCATATCAATACTCAATGATGACTTCATGACTTGTTCACCTTTATCAGAATGCCTATGCCTTTTACTCCTTCCAGTAGCAATGTACAGGAAATCATGAAGTCCAACATCACAACCTTTACCGCCAATCACAATAAGGGGGGCGATAGAGCCACTTCCTATGTCATTATCAAACACAGAAAGAAAGTGTGCGCCACCTTCACAAAAATGGACAAGGCATGTACAAGATGAGGAAAAATTATTAACTTAACAGCAAAAGTTAATAACTATGGCTGAAAAAGCAAGCTACCAGAGCACGGGTAAGATTCTTAGAATGTGGGAGACTAGAATATCAGCATGCATCCAGTTTTACGTTAGTTCCAAAATAGCAATTGCAAGGCGAGTGTGTGTGTGTGTGTTTGAGAGAGAGAGAGAGAGAGAGAGACCTTCATGACAAAGGATAGAAGCCCGTGATGTGGAAGGTGGAGCCAATGTATCCCATATAACCACATTAACATTATTGGAGCTATATCCAACAACAGTAATGATTGATCCACTTGAAGTAACATAAGCAACATCGCTGCAAATGAAATTAAAGTTGGAAACAACAAGAAATTTCCCGATTGAAATTGAGCGTTAACAACCACAGTTCCACAACATAATCACACACATCCAGTCAAGCAATTCTAGACAGCCAAATGATGCACATTAATTAAGCAAACATGATGCAAAAGGTTACCCAATAGTATATCAAAGTCAATAGACAATATGAATGGTCATTTGTTATGGATCACAATCCACCTAAGCAGCTAAAGTTTACATTGATAGATAACTGTTGAAGCTAAACAATAGGAAGTTAGGAACTACAGGGCTAGGGTATTCCAATAATTTCAGGTTTCAGAGTAATTGCATTTTATCATAAAGAGGGAAGTAGACATCCCATAGAGGAAAAAGCTTGGAGAAAAAATTACAGTCACTTCATCTTGGAGGATTTATCTATAGCCACATATTGAAGCAATGCTCAAACTAATTCCTGATACTACACTTCATTCTCTAACATATTTAAGAACTTAATAATTGGAATCGTGTCAAGAATTTTAAAAATCATATTACACATAAGATGCATGGCTGTTAAAGCATAGAGATGACTCTGTTGGACCAATGTTACTCCTTCCTCCCACCTCCAGCTGCCATGTGCATACAGTTCCATCCTAGGCAGCAGTAGCGAATCTATGTCCACAGCGGTCAAACTGTGAAGCTGATATAGATCCAAGAGCATAAGGTGCGGGGACATTTGCAGCAGGCAGTACTCCATAAGTTGCAGTAGTATTGTCCTTACCAAACTGCATTTAAATTTTTTTATTTTTTAGTTATATGTCCTCAAAGGTAACAATAAGAAGAGAGCAAAACATTCACAAAAGTGCACTTGACAGGACTTATTATGATTGTATTTGAAGACAGTTTCATTGCATTCTTCATAGTGCATTGTAATTTTTAGGAATGAATAATTAACAAAGGCAGAGGATAGATTGTAGCTCAGTGCACAATAACATATAAGTCTTCCATGAAATTATAGGTTGCCATAAAACCATGCTTGGTTCTTGTATCTGAAACAAGTTTGTCAATCTGTTGAGAGATGAATCAAAAGTACAAGGGGTGTAAAATGTTTTCTGAGGTGATTATGAATGCCTTCAAAAACAAAATTAATACACGAATGCACCCTAGCGACAAATTATTAGAGACTAGTTGTTAACTGTGACCAAACAAAAAACTTTTGATTCAGCCAAAAGCCTAACCAAGCAAAATACTATATGATAATACAATTCAAAATATCATAAAGACTATCGTGCTCTATTGAGATCTATAAAAAATTATAAAAAACAAGTTAAGGAAACCCAATACAGATATCAGATAAAAGATTGCAAATAGTATCTAAAAGATTGTCAAAGTTTCATACCTCCCATAAGTAAATGTGTGTATTGCTAGAACCAACTAAGAAGAAAGGTCTAGAAAGGTGACCAGAAAAAGCCCTCAAATGCGTTCTCCACAGTAGATGGTGGATCAACAAGCTCCTCAAAGTCCTCGAGTTTCCCAACCTAAACCAGACACATCCGTACCAGCATAATCTGGAATCCCAAATGCTCCACCACCCGTCAAAGAGCCCACACCAACAGTTGCTCCACCCAGTCCAAGGTGTGCTCCTTTCTTGCTTCCAAGACCAACACCAGGAGAAACACATGTTGGAGCAGGGTAACCCATCCTTTGGAGGGTTTACGATCAAGAGAGTGAGACCAGTTTATTTTTTCCTGGGCATAACTTTCAGATATCATTTTAGGATCAGCACAGATAACCCATAACTTGTCAGATTCATGTCTTTCATCCATTGTGTCCAATTTGACAATATCCTGATTGAGGGCTCTGGTTTGAGACTGGCTAGATTCTTCTAACCAAACAAGAGTCATGACATGCAACCCATAATCCATTTTATGCTGCAGAAGTGATGCTAGCTGTTTTACATAATAAGAAGCATATGCAAGTGCGGGCTTCAATAACCAAGCTCAAGGACACCAGTTGCTATCAGAATGTAAATTTGCAGAGCTAGGTAGCTGTGAAAAATGTGTTCCATCTGGTATACCAGAAAAACAACCATCATCAAGTTTATAGGACAACATATTCAACTTATGTTCCATGAGTCTGGATATGTGTTGCCATAAACAAGCCCCTATGATTTGCCATTTTCATATTCTGGAATTGAATGTGTTATATTTCTATCTTGAGAAACCTGAAGACCTACGTTATCAATAGAAACATTTTGAGCCACAACCTCTCGAATCTGGGGGAGGAGTTTCTTCAAAGTCATCATATCAACTCCATAAGGTGTATGCCCATTAGTAAATGTGATCATAAGGGATCGCACCATTAGAAAGAGAACTTTTGAGTTTTTACGATGCCAAGCATATGCAAGCTGTACATAATACTCGATCAAATCAATGATTGCACGGGCTTTCATGGTGAGATCTTCAGTTGAGGAGCAAAAGGCAATTATCAAAGCAGCCCTTAAACTCCACAATGACAGTGTAAGACCTTGAAAGTAATATCCCAATGAATCTGACCTCATAGATCTACTATCGCCAGACAAATTGTTTTCAATATAATGTGACTTCAGTATAGAGCAAGTTATACCGCAGGCCGCAATAACGCGTGAAAACAAAAGGGAAGTTTCTCTGGTGGCCTTCAAAAGTGGCTCATGCATAAGAGCATATGATAAGAATCTGTCAACTGTTTGGCTTTTATCCAGCTCATGATGTTGAGAAGTGTATCCATGTAATATATCAAATCCAACGAACCATTGTCCACGATTGTGCAGCAATATTAAAATCTGTAGAAGGAAGGGGAAAAATATGATCAGAGAGTCTAAAAATGTATCATTTCATGCCGGACAAACTACTCAGGTGTGATAAGGGCATAGTCTAAAATGTACCAGACTAATAAGATGGAAGGGAACCACTGAAAACTTCTGCTCCAACAGATGAACTACAGTGTATAACTTCTGTTGGAAAGATTCAAGAACTTTTACATATTCGTGATTTTTGTATTCCTTTACACATGTACTAGCTTCAGAAGATCCAAAAGCGATATCTACCCAGCTTGGATGCTCTCTTATCAACTTTGATAAGTATTGAAGTGTCAAATCTAATTTGGCTTGAAACTCCAGATTGAAAGCCACATTACTTGATAACCAATTGAAAGAATTTATTGGAGAAGACTCTACATTACTGTATGCACAACCAATTGGCATGCCTTTAGGAGGCTCTATAAGGATTCTCAATTGCAAATGGTAGCATAAACTTTGTACTTAGGTGTCCCTCTAGTGGTCCACCACACCCCTCAACAAGCCGACAAATCACTACAGAGGATTCCAAAATAATGCAGAGAATTCCAAAATTATAAAACACTGCTCAAATGCCCTACCAATGAACTAACTTGTCTAAATGAAATCACCAACACTCTCAATATTATACCAGTGCCCAATGAAAACTTGCTAGATGTTACCTCCTAACATGATTGAGTACTCTAAAATGAGCACCGTTCATTTGAACCAAGGGACTCAGTGTGTCTGATAGGTGCTCATTCAGCTAACTGAATTGAGTACCCGCCAAAAACAACCTCCACTACATATAAAAATCATATCCTTGACCCAAACAAAAAAAACATATAAAAATCATATCCAATAAATTTTGCAAACTTGAGAGGATTGTTCAAATCCAATAAATTGCAAAGCACTGTGCATGTTTTCAAGATGAGGAGCAGATTTTGAGCTTTGGGCGACCCAAGAATCATATCCATACTGAGTTTGGTTTTATCTCAGCAGCAAGGTGAAGATCATAGGTGAATCTGCAAAACAAACATAGAGTCCAAATATCACCACATGCAACTAACAAGAACAGTAGAATCATTCTCAATACATTGTTAACTGCCTATTAAACTAAGGATGTTCATTTTTGTTTAAAAAAAATAAGACTAATGATGTTCCTTTGCACTGTTAAGGGCCAGCTTCTCAATTTCTCTTCCAGGTTGCCTTTTTTATCCAAAGATGAAGTCTTTCACACAACTTTCAGCAGACTCTGTCGCCCTCTTAATCTGTCATCACAAATTTGTGCCGTTAGCCTTCGAAACAGTTACCGTACGCGAAGACCAAGTATAGAAGTTATTTAACAAAACCGATATCTATCATAAGAACATAATGACAATCGCCAAATTACCAATGAAGAAATTGAAAGTTTTCTATTATAGAGGAAAAAGGAACATGAAGAGAGAGAAGAATCTCAGCTAAAGGCATCCTGCCTTATATAGATGGTGAGACAAAACATCCTTTACATTAAACAATCCAGTTTAACTACCTAATACCTCAAGACAAGAAATAGAAAGAAGGGTAAACTGCCAAAAATGTTCATGGCGTTGCATTTTAGACTAATGAAGCACAACCTATTAGACATCACCAAAAGCACTCACAATATTATAGAAGAAAAAAAACTCCAACATTAAAGTAAACAATCACTAACCCAAATCTTAAGTGTAGCTCCAAGGTGAATAAATGTATCAAACCCACAACATTACTCTGTTTTTGCTTTTCAATTGGCGGCATGTCGGAGGAATTCATACTAATTGAGAGGCAGTGGAACTACAAGAAAATATTAGGACACATCTAGATACGAAGAGAGAATGAAATGTTTCACCATAATAATCCATGTATTCTTGGGGCTAATTTCATGCATATCTAAGAAAGCAATCCTCGCATTATATCAATTAAGGGACTAGAGATCCATTTTAGTTTTCTGAGGTTCATTTTAGAATCCTAGGTCTGTTCTTGATCGAGGTGGATGTCATATGTAGTTACAGACATCAACATAGTGAAGTTTGCAAGTAAGATGAAGCGATTCCTAAAGGAAATTGGGGCGGCAAGTGGAATAATGAGCTGTGATATGTGATGATGAAGGTTGAATCGATGGCCAGAACAGTGTAGGAAAGCCAAAAACGATCTTTCGCAACCAGAGCAACACCAACAAGGAATCCGATGGACATCATTGTAAGAGATAAGCTCAACATGAGTAATACAAATCTGATGGCAGCATAAATCATATTAACATCTCCCATTTATGTCCAAATAAGAGCAAGTATGACAGTGATGGAGCTGTAGGTTGCTATGGTGTTGAATATCAAAAATATTTGAAATGACCATTTACTACCCGAAGTTTCTATGCCATCATGAGGACCACCAGAGTTGTTATATCCACCTGGCACTGCGAATCCAACGGCAAAGGTTATGGTGGCCACGAGGGTTGAGACCAACACGAGAGTTTTGACATTCTCTTTGCGAGTAAACAAACTACAATATATTAGCAATATACAAGAAACAAAGAGCTACTGAATAAGAAATAACAGAGGAGGGTGCTGATAATATAGAATTAGAGCATGCTAGGGAGGATGTCGATAATGATTTTAGCGGCATTGATGCTGAAATGTACAGATGGGCATCAAAATTTCCTTCTACGTGGATGATTGTTTTTCGAATAGACCACCACAACCTACGAAGTCCCCGAGGACATACCGTGCTTCACATAGAGGCTAATGTTGTTAGTACAGTGATCGTCTCCCAGATACTCGATTATCATCTGTCCCCTCTTGACATATAGAACAAAAATGGAGATCTTTCACTACATCTAGTTGCATCCGCTGGGCATCTATGTGTAGTCGAGCGTTTACTGTTGCAGTACAAAACTTCTCCTCTCAACGTCCAGAATCAAAGAGGTGACACTGTGATGCATGTTGCCTTGGAAAATCACCACCTAGAGATGGCTGCATTGTTGTTGAAATGTGAAGATGGATTGGGGGCAAAGAGGGGAAATATGGCAAATGGATACAAAAATTCACCTATGTGCATGGATGTTGAAGCTGGAAATCTTGGCCTTGTTGAACAAATGCTATCCATCAGAATGTCGGTAATTGACAACTCAGTTCTGCGTGCTGCCATCAAAGGAATAAATGCAAGTAATTATTATCATATCAATCATTCCTTTGATGGCATCGCGCAGAACTGAGTTGTCAATTGCCGACATTCTGATGGATAGCATTTGTTCAACAAGGCCAAGATTTCCAGCTTCAACATCCATGCACATAGGTGAATTTTTGTATCCATTTGCCATATTTCCCCTCTTTGCCCCCAATCCATCTTCACATTTCAACAACAATGCAGCCATCTCTAGGTGGTGATTTTCCAAGGCAACATGCATCACAGTGTCACCTCTTTGATTCTGGACGTTGAGAGGAGAAGTTTTGTACTGCAACAGTAAACGCTCGACTACACATAGATGCCCAGCGGATGCAACTAGATGTAGTGAAAGATCTCCATTTTTGTTCTATATGTCAAGAGGGGACAGATGATAATCGAGTATCTGGGAGACGATCACTGTACTAACAACATTAGCCGCAATGTGAAGCACGGTATGTCCTCGGGGACTTCGTAGGTTGTGGTGGTCTATTCGAAAAACAGTCATCCACGTAGAAGGAAATTTTGATGCCCATCTATACATTTCAGCATCAATGCCGCTAAAATCATTATCAACATCCTCCCTAGCATGCTCTAATTCTATATCATCAGCACCCTCCTCTGTTATTTCTTATTCAGTAGCTCTTTGTTTCTTTTATATTGCTAATATATTGTAGTTTGTTTACTCGCAAAGAGAATGTCAAAACTCTCGCGTTGGTCTCAACCCTCGTGGCCACCATAACTTTTGCCGTTGGATTCGCAGTGCCAGGTGGATATAACTCTGGTGGTCCTCATGATGGCATGGAAACTTTGGGTAATAAATGATCATTTCAAATATTCTTGATATGCAACACCATAGCAACCTACAGCTCCATCACTGTCATACTTGCTCTTATTTGGACATAAATGGGAGATCTTAATATGATTTATGCTGCCATGAGATTTGTATTACTCATGTTGAGCTTATCTCTTACGATGATGTCCATCGGATTCCTTGTTGGTGTTGCTCTGGTTGCGAAAGACCGTTTTTGGCTTTCCTACACTGTTCTGGCCATCGATTCAACCTTCATCATCACATATTATAGCTCATTATTTCACTCGCCGCCCCAATTTCCTTTAGGAATCGCTTCATCTTACTAGCAAATTTCGCTATGTTGATGTCTGTAACTAGATATGACATCCACCTCGATCAAGAACAGACCTAGGATTCTAAAATGAACCTCAGAAAACTAAAATGGATCTCTAGTCCCTTAATTGATATAATGCGAGGATTGCTTTCTTAGATCTGCATGAAATTAGTCCCAAGAATACATGGATTATTACGGTGAAACATATCATCTCAGTCTCTCTTCGTATATAGATTTGTCCTGATATCTTCTTTTTGTTTAGAAAATTCAAGATCACCCTTAATCTTTCTTTTGGTCGAACATTCTCCATTGCTTCTTGTATAAGAGGCTCCAGAACCTCCTTTGTTATTGTCTGTAATGCCTGTAATGCCCTTGCCCTTTGGTGAGGTCATTCGTAATCTCATAGAAAAGTTCTTCTCTAACACGCCCCAGCTCTACGCACAGAATATGATCTAAGTAGAATAAAAAACGAACCATTAAATTAAGGTAAGAGAGAAGTACGATAGAAGGCCAACAATTTTATAATCACTTGAAATTAAGGTCGCGAGAAACTTAATTTCATGTACACATAACTTTGAGTTACGTTATCAGAAATAGCTAAAATTCACAAACACATATGCTCAATGGTGGATCCAGGAATTTTGCTTGCAGGGGTCAACGTCTAAAAGGTAAAAAAATTCTATACAAAATAGAACAAAAAAAACATGAAACGATAAAATTATAATTCTTAATTAATATCATCTCAGCTTTCAGAATATCAATAAAACATTAACAATCTCAAGACTCCAACTCGTGGCTGCACCTTGTAACCTTAGGCTGCCTACGTACCCTTACTGAGGGATCAAGCCACACGTAGTTCTTTCCTCTACTCATATCAGTCGCACACTGAAAAATAAGTATGTCATATACTGAACTCCCTTATTTTAGTTTAAGAATATCTCGACACTGAAATTCTCTCCTCCTAAGCGTACCTCTAATCCTAATCCGTCAACTCCATTAATACTGCCAATTCCCTCCTCGCAGGCCGGGCCGCAATCCTTGCAGGCCTCGAAGATACCGCTTTTATCCGGGCCGCAACCTATAACTAATTATTTATCCTCGTAGGCCAAGCCGCAATCCTCGCAAGCCTCGGAGATACCGCTTCTATCCGAGCTGCAACCTATAACTATCTATCTATCCTCAAAGGCCTCGGAGATACCGCTTCTATTCGGGCTGCAACCTACATATAGCTATCTATTTAACCCGTAACATGATTTAGATAACTCTTTCGGTCAAGACTCATTTAATATAAACCTAGCCCTAGGGTTGGCGTTTCTGGAATGTCCGGGACTCTGTTCTACGATCCGTCGAGTCCTATACGATTCTCAAAATTCCTAGATCAACATATATGAAATTCACTATGATCCAACGGTTTAAACATAACAAACTCGGAAATCGCACAATAGGCGAGATCCTTTCGGGGTTCAAGCGTTATCCGAATTGAAATCCGCAAGCACCTATGTGCTCGTGAGGACCAATGGGATTATTCTAGGACTGAAAGTGGTCCCCACCATGCTGCCCACGCGCTCCGATGACCGGAAAACTTCCAAATTGTAAGCCCAGCTTCCTACCCTAGGTTCATAACATGATTTGGAGCCACTTTTGTTCTTGGACCTACCCCAAAAACTGGCCGGAAGTGGCCGGAATCGGAGGCCGAAAACCAGCCAAACTCTTATCGCTTAAATACCTTCCAAAGTTCAGAAATTTCTCCTAAATAACACAACCAGCAGCTAGAACACCTCAAGAGGATGAGAAAACATACCTGGATCGCAAGATTTGGAGCAGGAAATCGTTCGAACGAACGATGGAAAGTTTCGACGAAAACCGGCGACTTTTCTTGACTTTCCGGCGAGCACAGAGGGCGGCGAGGGCTGGAAATGGTCGGGGCTGGAAGGGGACCTGACGACGGTCCTTTTGGGACCGGTGTCACCCAAAGTGGTGGCCCGTGTTGGGCGGTGGCCGGCCAAACGTGGCCGGCTGTTTCCAAAATAAAAAGGGGGGGCTGCTGTCCTCCCAAACCAGAGGGAGGAAGAGAAATAAATAGAAGCCGACTGTAGCGGCACTGTTGCTACAGTAACAAATTTTAAAATTCCTAATACGTCTTTTTCGTTCTAGACCTTTTCTCTTTTGTTACAACTCGGAATAGGACATGCTGTATCGTCGAGCTCAACGCACTGGTGCCACACAAATCCCCAAATTCCTTCCCGAATAAAAAATCAACTTTTAACCTAATAAAATATTCTAGGGCATAATGATCTTTTATTAGAATAAATTAATAATTAAATATTAATTTAGGATCGGGTTGTTACAGCTGAAGTATCAGTATCTTTGTAACTTAGAACAAAACAAACCCATGAAATTTCATATGAAAATGGAACTTAATAATCTAGGGAGAGAGAGAGAGAGAGAGAGAGAGGTACCCATTGTATCAGAAAGGAGCTACGATGGCTTCGGTCGTCCGTACGCGAGACCTAATTTTGTTTGTATTGTTAGATTGGGGTGTTGGGCTCTTTAGTTGGCCTGGCTCCCTTTGTGTTTAGGGTTCGGTTGGTCTGTTCTGTTTTTTATTTTTTTGTCAGAACTCTTGGTTGTTCATTGGGCTTTGCCCTCTTTTTCGTTTATAAATTCATTTAATTACCCCAAAAAATAAAAAATTTGTTGAATAAAAGATTAAAAAAATAGAATAAAAGGGAGTTTTGATTTTCAGTTCCAAGAATCATTTTGTTGTGCTATGAAGGAAGCTTGTTCTTGGAAATTACATTTTAAAGAGAAGCGGATTAATGCCTAAAGAAAGGTAAAGAGCCTTTTCAATGGAGGTGTAGGTTTATTTGAAGTTGTGTTTACATAGGAAGACAGAGGACCAACTTACAATCTCAGAGGCCTACAAACACTTACAAAGAATATGATATGTGAACCTTGGTGCACATGTTTCTCAACATTTACTACCAAACATAATTTACTATTTGGGAAATATTGAAGAATAAATGAAGGCAAAATGACCAATTTCCTGTATCAGAAAAAAAAAAGTTTAAAGAAAATTAAAAGATTGTCAAGTAAACCAAACATGACCCAATTTCATCTATGGTGGTGTAATTACTACTCTGTTGAAAATCTTAAACAAGAGTACATAAAAGAGAACTGATACACGGCTACTGATCCAAAAACCCTAGTACATTGTGTGAAAGAGATTTCTGGTGGACCAATTATGTAACACAGTAAAATCCTAAGTTCTGAACCTAAAGCGAGTTTCTACTTCAGTAGAGTTACAAAGTGCCTAACCCTAAACTGGAATTTAAGACGCCGAGTCCTGCCTTCCCCTTCATCATCACATCACCATCACCCTCATTTACCACCAAAGCTTGTATTCTTGAAAATGGAGCAAGTAAATTGCTTTCTAGTGTACACAAAAAGCTCCAAGCAGATACGATGTGATTAGGAAGATATTAGGAAATCATGGAATGAGATAGTCAAATTCCTTCCTTTTTAAGATTGGGGTGAGAACAAGAACGCTTTGGTAATGGGAGGGATTCTCATTGTAGTTTCTTCCATCATCATTCCCTTCCTGATCTGTTAAAGCTAGAGGTGGAAAATCCTCATCTTTCATCTGATAATTCCTCTGGGCCACTGATCTGGCAAAATAATCAAACTCCCCTGTTAAGATAAATGAAAGCATCACAAAACAATCCCATTGAAGAAATGATAGGTTGAAAATAACGAAAATAAAAAAGGAAATTGCTCTGAATAAAATCTTAAGAAGAGTTTGGCCTTTGAGACACTACCATGGCACCCAGAACCACCAACCACCAAAACCCCTCCCCCAAAAGAACGAAAAATGCACCTGAACCAACTACCTTTGGAGGTGGGGTGAAGAAGGCTGATCAGGCGAAGAACGTTGAGCAGAGCCACCATGAAACCTTTGTTCCTCAAATACCCCACTCATCCTGTTCCCCTCATTTAGCTGTGAAACCTCGTTCAATCCTGAGAAGCCCACTGGTCCAAGAGAACCAAACTCAAGTTGTTCTGCAGGTGACCCATAGCCAGTATTATGGTCATAAGGATACAACATGACAACTGATGGAATGGAAGGTCCATTTGATGACACCCCACTGGGGTTCATGGCTGGTAGCGGATACATGCCATAAGCAACATTTGTGGAACCACTCTGTGTAGTGTTTGAGCGGATAGGACCATTTTGAGATTGATATGAAGGGAACGAGTCCTGCCTATGTGAGCTCCATGGCCTTTCAGCTCGGCTGTCACTAGCTGCCAAACGGTCTGCTCTTGAATTTGGCTTCTCACCTTGGCTGCGACTGTGGTTGCGGCCAGAAGCTCGTGACTTTGAATTAGTATTCCAGTTTCCTTCTCTATCACCATGGTGGTCATTTCTTTCATAATTGTAATTCCCCCTTCTTGTGCTTGAAGGATGCCGATCCCGTACAGTAACCTTCTGAATTAATTAAAAGGGGATAAAAGGGATAAATAAAACTGCAGCAGTATGTAAGTGATCACCTAAAGCTGTAGCGTTTTTGTTTTGGGTAAATCAAGAGAAGTAAAATAAAATGATGGAAAACTTCTTTTCTACATCACATTTAAATAAAGCCTAACTTTTCAGAAACCAAGCACTGGTCCAACAGACAAGATTGGTAGGTGCAACATGCTTGACAAAAAATAAAATTCCAAAATAATCAGCCGATAAGGAACAGGTATATGTTATCTTACAGGATTTGGCAGGTAGGTCCCAGTCCCACTACGATATCTTGGAATCTCTTCGACATAACGTTGATAAACACTGGCAGGCCTGTTAGAAACAGACTGGAGAGGAACAGGAACCAGTCGAGGCCCATAACCCACAAGCTGATTGAAAAGATTCATGTTGGCTGAAAGAGGTCTCCCAGGGCCATCCCAAGGAAATCGTCCTTGTAAGTAGACAGGGGGCACCATAACTGGTGATGGATAAACCACAGGTGAAGGATGCCGAGAATTTTGGCAAATACGTCCATATTGCAAATTCTGCCAATGACTTGCAAAATCGCTGTGTAGAATGTCGGACTTATGCTCTGATGCCTCAATAGGAGCGGCCCTTCCAATAGAGTTAGAAGTACTTAATACCTCAGGCTGATCAGCTCCCTCAGATGAATCAAAATTCTGACCAGAATCACTATTATCCGGTCCCTCTTCTCTACTAAATTGGTTAGCTGATACATCTGAAGTTCCTGTCTCTGTTGAGAAGTAATTATAAGGAAGCATTGTAACAAATGGAACTGGAGGCCCCGTAGGATAAAAAAGCATCCCAGAATCATTTGAAGCTCTCTGTCGTGAACCAGGACCTAAGAGCACTGGAGCAAATGGTATCAACGAATCTGATCCACTTGTCTGAGATGGTTCAAAACCAGGCATTTGATGCCTTGGAACATGCAAAGAAGCAGCGGGTTGAGGTCCTGTGCTTCTTTCTACCATTTCGGCACCTAAAGTCGTAGGTTGATTCCAATCTCTGTTGTCATCATCTGCCTGGGTAGATGAATGTTCAGACACGCTCTTGCCTTTCCCAAATGCAGCAGACGGTGCTGCTGAAAGAGCAGTTCTCCTACCCCGTTTTTCCCTTGTTGACTTTGAGACCTTTGCTGATGATCCTTCCCAAGAACTCTCAGAGGAGGTCTTACTTCTCACTGAACTTGTATAAGTTGCAGACCTAGAACTCACAGTTCGGTCATCAAAGTATACCTCATTTCCTTTGTTATCTTGATACTGAAAATTATCCACAGGATCTTCCCTCAATGCATCTCGGTTTTCTTTAGGCTTTTGTTGAACTCGCATAGAACTTCCTGAGGTGCCTACCAGAGATGAAGGATGAAAGTTATAACCAGCTGAAGTTGACTGTTGCTTATCATCTTCCTGAAGCAATTGAAATCATGATCAGTTTCACCTGAGTTCATTTCCACAGATCCAAAATTTTCATTACTAGGTTCCACTGAATCTTCAGGATTCGAGGACAACCCCAAGCCAGGGAAATAAGGGGCTAACGGCGATGGGACAACACCTTGGGGAAATTGCATATTTGTTCCCCAAGGAGTCTCAATCATGGGAAAATTTGTGGGCACCATTCCACCCATATTTCTCTGAGCATATCCCATAGAAGCAAGGATGGATGGTGGGATTGGAAGTGGTAGGTGACTCGAAGCCATATTCAGTGGAAGATGGACTGGCCCATTAAAACCATGAGCTGTAGAAGATGCCATCATGTTAACAAGATCTTGCTCCTCCTGGTGCATCCCTTGTGTCCCCGAAATAGAAGAATAATCATCAGCAATGGCATTCAATCCCGATTCGTCATGATAGCTATTTGAATCAACAGTAGCATCAAGGCTTTGACGGGATGAGATGTGTCTAGCAGACAAAGGATCATCAGTTGAAGATCTAACTCTGTGACTTGCCATACTGCCAGAGTCCAGGTTTTTCCTCCTGCTATTATCCAACCTTGTCGAATAAGTTTGGGTTTTCCCACTCTCGGGGGCTCTGTTGCGTCTACCTTGAGAGGAAACTTCACCATACGAATCAGTAAGCTCAGGACTAGAACGTGTCCTTGCAAAAAGAAACCTCCCATGGAGGTCATTCACCAAGTTATCAGGTCTAGCACTTCTCTGACCTTTATCAACCTTTGCACCCAGATTGGAATTGGTTTCCTTTCTAATCTGATCAGACGCCCTAGCAGTGTTTGTGTTCCCATGATTCTTTTGGCTTTGAGCATGAGTTCCAGTAGGCACATCACTTTTCCCGGATGTGCTTTCTAAAGGATAACTACCATGCTGGGAGGGAACACTAAGTGAGCCATGCGTCCCGTCACCATGAGTACCACGACCAGAGGAACTTTCGTTTTTTTGGTCGCGTGAAATGTTCCTGAGATTCTCAGATCCATGTAAGTGGTCTGGATTTGAAAGTCTCATGCGCCTCAAATCGTTTCGTGGTGCATCAGGTCGATGGCCACTCCCATGTCTATCCCAAGTGTTCAGGAAAAACTGATTTACTTCAAAATATAGATCCTCTTTGGCACAATCAAGCAACCTGGCCAGCCTTTTAGCCCCAAATGCAAATGCACTGCGTATTCTGAAGAAGTTACCTGGAAAATATACATACACAATATATAATAATTTAAACAGCCAACAATGTGAACAGATAGGAAATCAAGCAAGACAGTTACACCTTACAAACAACATTAAAAAAAATTAAGGAAAGACAATGAAGTTACATGTATTCACACCAAAAGACTCTTTGGGTGTCCTATGAAATAATCACATTCTCTTACATATAAGACTTTGTGTCTGTCATTTTGAATGAGCCCATTTTCAAGTTAACATGGATATTGTTGCCTTCCACATTATCAGCTGTTTTCAGTTGTACTATTTTTTTGCTCCCATAAAGACCATAGTTTCATCATCTTCTGTTCTACTTACAGGAAAAAAAAAAAATATATATATATATATATATATCTAAATCACGTTCTTAATGATTTGAAGTCCGAAATTTTTATTATTTATATACACATAATTACTTCCAAAAAAGGAAGCATACTGTTTCACACTTGTAAACAAGTAATGAGTGCGACCAATTAATTAAACAATGTATTCTAAATGTTGGCCAAAAAACAATGGAAAGTAAATCTCTTAGAAACAGTAATGCCAAAGAATGTAGTTTCAGAACGGCATACCTTTACTAACACTACGTCCCAGGTTGTTATTGATTCGCAAAGGATCAATAACATTAAAATGTTTGGAAACAAAAGGCTGGCCCTGATTTTCTTGACCGCCAGGGAAAACAGCATACACTGAGCTACAGGCATCAAGAAATAATTTGCTCAGTAATAACTCTCCCCCATCTTTTCGCGGAGGTTCGGCTGCGATATAAACAATAACAAATTTAAACAGGAAATTGTCAAAATTTGAAGGAAAAAAAAAATGGATGCTTGATGGTCAAAAGTTTACTAAAGCAATTAATCAATACCAGTTACATCTGGAAGTGCACTAATTGGTACAGGACCCCATAGGCTAACACAAAAATTGTCCCAGTCAAATTTACTAAAAAACTCTAAAAAACGATACAGGACCTGCACAAGCAAAGAAAACCATTCAGATGGATCCACAAACAATAATGCCAATATAATACACCAACTTAACCATAGCCACCTCAAGTGGTCCAGCAAAGGAGTTGTTGAAAACGTGAAATATGTATAAAACCAAAGTTTCCAGTGCGTAAGTTGAGATAAGTCCATGGTGAGCACCCAGTATTCGGCTCTCATAATAACACCAGGCCTTTATCAGTATGATACTACGCTTGAACAAATGATTTTGATTTATCAAATGATCAACCTGAAGAAGCAATTAATACAATTAGTCAAGGCATACAAATATTAACGTGGTTTACAAATGTGCCATTTACCTCCTCAAGGAAACAAAGGGTGCACAAGCCCCCCAGCTGATTGAATGATATGTCTACTACAATGTTTTCCACAAGGCACTTGATTATCTTCACCTGTAGATATACAAAGAGAAGTATTATGGTTAAATCTAGTATCAGAAAAGCAAAATTAAAATATAAAGAGAATCAAATATAGACAAAAACTAACGAACATTGCCACAACAGAATCTCAAATAAAGGTAAAAATGCTAATGATAATAAGAGGAACATACTTCTGCCTGAATGTACTGAACCTCTTTCACGCGGAATTCAGCATTCTCGTTCTTTTCCTCGTTCTCCAGCATATCACGAACCTGATGGGCCCATGTGTCCTTCAAATTTTGAGTCTTACTGAAGGCTGTCAGGTCAATATCTCCATCAGGCAAATATGTCTTCAGGGGTACTGATCCAAAAGTGAACACCTGGACATAATCACAAACATTTAGGTCAACGAAAATAAATGCATAAATAACATGAAACACAATAAATATGCACCAATTCAACAAGTTAACAAACAATTTTTCATAGCATAACCATCAGCATTGGGTCCAATTTTGTCACAATGAAAGACATGCTAAAAAAACCACCAGTGGACCCCATTATATGTCACTTCCCCAAAAGCCCACAAGTCTCAAAGTTCCACCCGGCCTAAGGTTATACACATCTCTCTGATCCGATATAATTCTTGAGTCCCCTTTAGTTCTTGTTAGCTCAAACTACAAGACTTATGCAATCATCCTTATGCGTTCAGAACCTTGAACATCCTAAAAATCCTCAAGTTATTGGTTTTTACGCATTACCATGAAAATATTTCCAAATTTACCTGTGGTATCCAATACCTAGATAATGCAATACAACATTGTAACGTGTTTTTCTTTTTCTAACAAAATGAGAATTCTATCAGAAATTGAACATGTACTTACAGTTATTAAAGCAAACAATTACTGTGTACACATATTAATAAGTATGTCCCACCTGGCAGGGGAAGCACTTCATTATGAGCCGCTGAACATAATCGGCGACGGCATTTCTGCGCTCCTCGGAGGGTGGATTGGGCTGAATGCAGGCAATTAGCTCTGCAGTTCTCTCCTCCGCCTTCAACCATCGCTCTGAGTCGAGCACTCGCATTACCGAGGCAGCTTCATTGGGCAATAGGCCATTCGGCAAAAGCCCACTTGGTGGCTGTGCCCACCCCTCATGTTCGCCCATGCAAGCTTAAGCTTTCCCTTCACTTCTACACCAAACAATAACTCTTCCTTTTACCCCAAAAGTCCCAAAAGCAATACAGCAAAGCTGAATCTTTCCCCAATCCCAAATAACAATGGCAACTAAAATACAAAAACACAGAAATCAATTTTTTGCTCTAGGTAGACCCTTTCTTCCAAAAAAAACCAAAAGGAAACCTTCAGCTCCAAAACCACTAATAACCCAAATAGGATTTTTTCTGTTTTTCCTTTTAAAGTTCAAATTTTCATTTGCTGCAAAAATACTAACCAACTTTTGCGTATTTCAGGAAACAAATATCACAAAATAGAATCCTACCCAGTAGTTAAAAACCTAAGCGACAATTAGAAATACAATTAAACATTAAATTAAATCCCCAATCTGATGAACAGGGACGAAACCCTAGAAAACCCAGCGGACGAAAACGTAGGCGATGATTGGGAGATTGGAGAAACAAAGATATGGGATATAGGAACCCTAGAGGGAACTGTGCAATCCCAATAGTGGGGAAGTGTCGGCGAATCAGAAAATGAGGGAAGTACAAGCTTGGTGAGGGAGAAGAAGAGGAACCAAGGAAGAAATGTGGGCAGAAAGGTAGGGCATTTGATTGAATGGGACTTCAAGTTTTGATTAAAATTAGGTTTTTTTTTCCTTATTTTTCAAAGAGGGAGAGAATTTGGATTGGAAGAGGTTGCCAGGTTGGGGTGCATTTGTAAGGGGTTTTTGAAATGAAAATTTATTGGAGAAGAAGAGAGAGAGAGAGAGAGAGAGAGCATCCAAAACAAAAGAAAAAAAAAAATTTGATTATTGGGGAAATTAAAAAAAAATTATATTATATTTTTTTAGGGGTTTTTTTTTATGCGGTTTTTTGAGGGGTATGACCTGGGCCAGTAGCCTGGGATTAGTACTTCAACCCAGGTGCTGGGTGTAAATAACAATTCCCAAATTGAAATTACCATGCAAGTCCAACATCAGCAAGCCCATGGTGGCATAATAGGCCAATCCCAAAGAGCCCACCCCAGTGACCAATTCGCCAGAGCAGGTCCCTTCTTCTTCTTCTCATTCAATCCCCCCTATTTTTGGGGGATTGCTGCTGGCGCTCAAAAAAACTTCTGGGTATTTCAGACAAAGCTTGTAGCTTTTGCATGGGTAAACAGGTTTGGCCTTCGTTATGAAATTCAAAAGCAACTTCTTTCTTAGAGTTTTATCAAGTTTTAAACTTTAATTAGCATATACTCCCTTGATCAGTGTATCTCTTCCTGATTTCTCGTTGTATTGCTTTATGAAAATGTCAAATTTTGGGCCTGAAGGCCTATATTTCATTCTTTGTTTTTGCTCAAAATATATTATGGATTCATTTTCTTCAACTTAAATATCATAGCCTGCAAACTCAAATTTCCGTATGCGTATGGTAATGTTTGTTTCTGTCATTATTGTTATTATTGGTCTTTGCTTGATTTGCTACCACTAGCAAAGATGGTTATGATTTTTACTTTGGGAGGATACAGAGCTAGTGGTAGGAATGCTGTTTATTTCTTAGTTCCAGATGGATAATTGGGAACTATGGTTATCTAGGCGGGAAGAAGGCAAATGTTATCAGCCAGTGAGAAAGCTGGCAATGAAAAGTTGTATAAAGGGGATCCATGCATATACTGATTACAGGGCTGGGTTATGAATAAAATATAATAGAGTCTTTCTGACCCTTCTGCTTTTCATTCACAGCACCATTCAAAGAACAAGAAGTGCTTTGTGTGCGACAAGCAAAAGGATGGCTACAGAGGGTGAATTACAGTTACTACATTTACTTATTGATCTATTTGCTTTGAAGTCACCTTTGGCTAAGTGTTGAAGAGGAAGTTCACTTTTGACTCTGATAAAATGTGGAAATGCATAACAACGGTGGAAGTTCACTTTGGTAATGTAAGTTGACGGTCAGCTTTCGTCCATTTTTGTGGCGGTGATGATGTCTGAAATTATCTTGTGCTTAGTATACTCTTTGTTTTGCAATCTGTACGCACAAAAGAAGAGATTAAAGGAAAATACTTTACAGTAGAATTTGAATTCTGTACCCACAGTTATAGTACCTTTTTTACCAACTCTTTACAGGGACTGGAGGATTTACATGTAAGAATATTTTATAAATATTGTGTGGCCCACATGAAATACCGTGATGTGTGGTAATTGATTATGGGCTTCACTAGGAAACGGGTCCTCTCTCTGCCTATAATAGTGCACATACCCATCTTATGTGTACACTGATGAAGACACGGATTAGGGTTTTCTAAACGTGCAAAAGGCCAGAGAGAGAAATCTATTTCCTCCACACTGACGGCTCGCCTACGGATCGCTCAAGGCAAATATCTTGATATGGTAGAAGACTAATCATTCAAGGTATGTATGTAATTTAAGTCTAATTGAATTTCCGCATAATGTTATTGTGAAAATCATGAAGTTCAAGATCTCGGGTCATGTATTGGGTTCTTATGGTTTTGCCCAATATTAAGTTTACATTACATAGATACAGAGATGGTTAGGAGGTAAGAGATGTACACGACAAAACAGAGAGAACAAATTAAATCCTCTACTTATTTTCATATGAACATCTCCTATGCGCATGTAGAAAATCTAAGCAGAAAGGAATTAAACTCCTGTGAGTATCTCCTTGGTTGCCAACCCGCTGCTCTCTATATTATTTTCATGGTTCCATGAGTGTGGAGATGGTGAAGTAAGTAATGGCCACAAGAGATTCCTCTGTTTTCTCACTTTCCGAACAACCATCCTCATGTGTTGCCTTAGGACTCCATTCACAGCCTTTAGATAGTTGCTCGAGTCATGGTCTCGTAGGATTGTACCTTCTGAACCATAAGCTGTAGGATCACTTAGAGTTTCTAGTGGATGTGGGGAGTTCAAGAAAGCCCTAAGTAGACTTGAAGAGAATCCACATTGGGTCTTGTCCAAAGCATAGAGGGCACTCCCCAGAGGAAGTAGAGGGTGTGGAGGAGATGAATTTTCGTCAGGTTGGAGAATGAATAGTTTACCCATGGGAGAGTATAATATTTTCTGCACAAAAACACAGATATTAGAAGAAGTGAATGAGAAAACTTGCGTGTACTTCAAATTCAGTAGATAGGTTATCGTTATCAAATTCTATATTTTCCTATATCTTTTTATAAAGCCTTTTGATTACATATGTTGGTCCTTACAGATTCTGGTCTTAACTCTACTCTGTGCACGAATAGCATTCTTTGAGTTTACAGTGGGAAATGACAGATGAGTTTAAAGCCATAACCCTATCTATTTTTTGGTGGACTTCAATACTTACATTTTTTATCAGACAAGGGTGTGACCGAAATGAGCCATTTAAACGCTTGAGAAGTGTGGCCACATGGTTAGGGTAGTTGCAGGAGAAGGCTCTAGGGACAATATCTCTATGCATCATCACGGAATGGATTTGATTCTCATCCACGCCCAATTGGTCAAGTAGTTTCTGGCCTCCGCAGAACACAAATGGTGAGCCAAATGTGACAACTGGCCGAAGAATGGAGGGTTTTACAAGCTTCCTACTCAGTAGCATCAAGTGGACTAAAAGAGAAAGGCTTCCTCCAAGAGAATGACCTGTAAATTGAAGTTTCGCTCGCTCACCGTGTTTATTCAAGTGGTCGATTATTTCCGGCATAAATTGCTCGTACATTCCCTTTGCTGCTTCATAGATTCCTCTGTGAACAAGTACATCTGTCCCCTGTACAAGGACATTGGGTTGTCAGTGGTTTCTCATTTTCTTTCCTTCTGCAACATTAACAAGTGGGGAATCCGAATCTATGCATACCTCAAATTTGGTGGGTTCGAAGAAGAGGTTTGCTTGCCAGGAAGAGAGGGAGTCGGAACCCTGCAAGCAAAAATAATTTGCATGTTAAGTATTTACCAATCTGCTGCACACTGTCTCTTTGTTTCAGAAATCAAAAGATTGTGCCACTTGAACTCTGCTTTCTTAATTCTCATTAATTGGATATCAAAAGACCTTGTAGAGCTATTGCCAACTGAAAGTAGAGTTAATGATTTATCAAACACAGATCAAGTGGGATCAAGGGCTAAGACATTACCTGAATCACAAAGCAACGAGTATATGTACTGGAGTCATCACAAACAAACCATTCACAAGGTGAGGAGTGGAGTGACTGAAGGTCCTTTGCTGTTTCTTGTTTCTCCCTTTCCCCTGCTGCAACCATTACTGTCATTGTTGATGCTGCCATGGAAACAGCCACCTCTGGTTTATAGCTTCGAGTTGAGCTCCCTCCTTCCTCCCATGAATTCTCACAATTTCTGCCTGAATTCTCGCCATCACACTCATGCTGTGATTTAGACCCAAGGGGAAGGCTATCCTTATCCCTTGAGCGCACATAAGACGCAGCTGAGGCAGCAATATTGTAAGCAACAGATGGACGGATTGAACACTTCTGCTCGGATTCTGCCGCTTTCTCTGAATTGGATTCACAAGCTACTTCGGCAGCTACAGGTGCACGAGTAGAGTCCTCATCAAGTTTTGCTTTGATTTCATCTGCCTCGGCTTTCTTTTCTAATGAAGATGTTACAAACTGTAGCGCATAATACCTCTTCAAATCATTGGCCTGCACATGAATTTATTTCCTCATGCTTGAAATATCCAACCTATGTTTCACTATAAATTTTTTATGTAAATGTTATGACTTCTGAACCATGCTGAACAAAAACGTACCTTGATCTGTGGGATCACATAAGCCAGGTTGCACAAGAAGGCTAGCTGAGAAAAAAGCTTGGTATCAGACCATGGTACTCTAACCAAAAATTTTGAGAAAAAATCAGGACTAATTTCTCCATCATCTTCTTCTGTAGTATAATCCACTGCACAACCACCTTCCTCTCCACCACATTCACAATCACCATTTTCACCGTTGACACAAAAGTTGTCGTTTGTGTCTTCATCCACAACGTCTTTTTTCTGCCTATTCCTCCATTTACTTCTTATTTCCACAAGCCTCTCCACCCAATTGGCTCTTTTTCTCTCCTCTTCACCAGCACTCTCCTCAGAGTTCTCCACCATATTCATGTCCTTCTCCTCCACTACGCTCATATGCTTACTCGTGTCTGGATCAAACAAGAATGATCGAACAGAGTTTGGGAGAATGGAAGTCGAAAATTGAAATGGGAAAATCCCCATTGAACGGCTGTTTTTTAGTTTTGGTTGTGTTGAAGCAGCATGGATACGATTAATGCAGTGACAAAGATGGTTATCCGAATAAGACCTCCGGATAGTAGCACGGTTGTAAAGGTCTTGGCTAGAGTGTGACCGCCGGAGACCACTGTGCTCTTTGAAGATTTCTGTTCTCCTGGAGGAAGCCGGAGAGGTAGGAATAACCAGTGAACTGCATGCCATGGTTGCACCAAACTTCAAGCAATGAAGGTTCACTTCCTCTGTATGGATGACTTGCCTGGAAAATATTTACACTCTTTTAGCCTACAATTTGTAACCCATAAGAGGATGAGATGTTCCAGAACTCCTAATCCTTTTTTAGCCGAGCTCCTGAAAGCAAATCAACATACGGCAATGGAGTTTTATAGAGCTCCCCCTCTAATCAGCCATCTTCTCCTTGTTAACAACGGAAACATTATGGAACTACCATTTTGTGCACAGGGCAAACTACCAATCTTCATATAATGCAACTTTGTGGTAAGCCGAGGTTGAGGGGTTTAAAGTCATTTGGCATGCGAATTAGACAAAGCATGGCTAAGATCTTGACAAAGTAAGACATAGTAATATTCGAGAACATAATAAATCCATTACCCTTATCAAAAATAATAATAATAAATCCATTACGTATATATAGTTCAGGAATGAACCCCTATGCCCGAGGACAATACTGTCGTGAAAAACCATGTAACTTTTTATGCCTAAAATGAGATTGCATTTGAGCAAATAGTATTCTCTACAATGTATTTTCTTCAATCTTGTACTTGTATGTATACCGTGTTCAAATTTAATCGTATTTCAAATTCATAATATTAGATTGTATCTACTCGTTTCAAATGCATTACATGTAATATTTCTATACTTATTGCAATCAATGTGATCTTCTTGTTAAAACTCAAGTTCATTTTTTAAAATTCCTTCATTCAAATGGGCTATCAAAAATAAATAAATAAATAACGGTTTCCTTGATTTGTTGGCTTTGTGATATAACTAAAAGTAAGCACGTCTTAAGTTTGAGGATTGACACCAATTGAATCGAATCTACGTATTTCCATAAAATAAATAAAGAAATAAAATATTTATAATATAAAAAATTCCACATCCAATCCAAATGAACCCTCATTGAACATAAAGCAAGAAGTGTGGATTTTCACTTAAGTGTCACATATGGAGGTGATACCAAATTAAAACCAACCACAATTTCTGTCTCTGTCACTTGGAATTCAAAAGGGTTTGGTTATTTGTTGTCAATTTCAATGGCTTACCTTGGCTCACCCGATTGACAATAATCTCTCACCAACCTTTTAATTGTCCGCCTCGCAATCTGTTTGGGGATTGCTATTAAATTGTTTTTTTTTATAATCACTTATTCCTCTAACCTACAAACCCATAATTTTTGTTTGTGTTTGAGATTCTAGGACATATCTTCTAACCACTCCCCTCTCTCGAAAGCATCGTAATTAAGTTAATTAACAGAACTTAGAGCCGACAGTCTTGTTAAAACAAGCTCACAAGACTCAAAACTCTGATTAGCTCCAAAACCAGAAAATACTAGAACTAGAGAAGCATCATAAGTTTGATCAAATTAAGGATGTGACAGATGATATGACACTCTACCATAACCTCCCAACCAAACTTTCATATCATTCATGACAAATTAAATGACTCAAAGATCCAAAAAAATATAACGATTTTTTCAAAGATTTCTGTCTCTGATTTGAAAGGAAATAACCCAAAAGAGACAAATCAACAAGAAATTTCAAAAGGGTTTCCAAAACTTTTTCTAAGTAGCCCAAAAAAGAGCCCAAAAATGAAAATTTAGAAACAAAAAAAGAAACCCAAAAAGGAAATATGAGTCGAGTGGAGATATATACCTCAAAGAATTACCCTACCCTAACCCTTCACATGTCTTCCATGGCATCACATTGTGAAGGAGATAGAGGACTGAAGCTGCTGGATACAGAGTGAGAATGCAGCTATAGCCAATTTGAAAATGCCTGAAATTTTGTGAGAAAATGCAGCATATGCGGAGTGAGATCTGTTTTGGACTTGGTGGTTCAGAGACTTCTTCTTCTTCCTCTTCTTCTTCTTCCTTGTGCTTTGTTTTTCTGAGAGTAAGATCTGGCTTTTACTATAATTAGAGGTTCCGGTTTTAATATATTAAGGGGTTGTAGAAACAGCCATGAAGAATCTGTTCACGTGGACTTTACTTGAGGAGCTGCCACCTTCGAACCAATTTATTCTGGTCGAAAATACCCCTGTGATCTTTTATTTTAATTTTTATAAATGGGGTTGGTGACTATTATATCATATAATTCACAAACCTTACATATCGGTGATTGAAATTTTGATTTCATAAAATTGATTGAGAATTACATGTTGATACAAAGATATATCAACTCTTAATATGAGAAGAAGTATGACTAATGCTACTTCCATAACTATTACCGAGAATCTTATTTTGTATCATATATATCCATTATATTATACATCATAGAATTCGTCTAAACAAACAAATTTTTGTGAAGAATAAATCGATAAATATGATACAAATCTCTTAATTAAGATTATGCTTATGTTATTGATAATCTAATCGCGTTTGAATTGTGAATGATCATTATGAATCTCCGTTGTACATCTTATGCTATTTTATCAATAGTCTTTAATGATAAAAAAAAAAAATATTAGAACATCACATTCACATATCATATTTCTTCTTATTTCGGTATATTTCTAAAACAAAATAAAATGTGTCAAACCAAAAAAGAAAAGGAAACACATTTATATGTGTAAATATGTATGGTAATCAGGGTTGTTTTTGTCAATTAATGCTATACATTCTTTTGCACCTGGAGGGATGATGGTGTCATAATAAGATTGTAACTCCTCCCCCTCCTCATAAAACACCTTTTGTCCCAACTCAAGACGGTTGAAGCAGTGTGTCTTATGGGGACAGATGTGCGGTTGCATGAACCACCCAACCCCAGTAGCTTACACATTTCGTTCACCCGCTCAAGCGCTGTGCGGCCACGTCTCGCTTAACTCAAGCCTAGAAAGTACCCAACGGAACTCGTTTATATATTCTCTCTCCTCTATGTTGTATTAATTCGTGCGAATACACAAAAAATTCCCACAAACAATATTCTTTTATAAATTGTCATAAAATAATTCCACCGCATCATGAGTGGGCGAGATGCAGTAAAATGTCAGCTCCAAATAATATTTTTTTTTAAATTGGAACAACAAATTTCATAAGGATGCAAAATGACGTTCATAGATTTCGATTACAAGTTGCGGATGACTTTCCTTTAGCTCCGCGTACTCCCTGCTTGAAGCAAGCTTTTCGAGGTTGTTTGTGATCACCATCAAGGCTGCGTCGATGATCTGCTTGTCGTTATGATCGTGGCCGAAGGTGTAGGTCGCAAGTGAATTGTCCCAGTTGAGGTTGGACACCAAGAACTTCTGGCACAAGTCTTCGAGATGATGCACCTGGTACTTTTTAGCCACTCCAAGGAGTGAACGGGCCAATTGCTGGTCAAGGCATATCTCGGCCGTGTACAGGTACCTGACAAAGGCACCAAGGCCTTGGGGCCACAATTCGTACAAATCGATTTCTTTTGTCTCATTCTCAAGGATCGCTTTGAACACCGGAGAACGGCTTGCCTAATCGAGTGCAGCGAAAATAGACATGGTTCAAAAGGAATTCAAAAGTGTACATTGGACAAAAACCAGGTAGAAGAATAATATTTTCCCAGGAAAATAAAGTAAAGCCACCAAAATGCTTGAACAAAAATCACTGCTGAAGTAAAGTAGCAAGTTGGCGAAATGGGCACTGACCAAAACGACCGTATGGGCCGTATCTTTTACAGGGCCGTCGGGATGGCCGTAGTCCAAGGAAGACAGAACGACGTCGGGCCAGGAGGTTAAGGGATACTCATTGGACATCGTGAGAAAAGCGACCTTAGCCTTGAGGTCCTCGTAGCACTGCTTGCAGGCGCCGGCATCTCCATCGTATTTGCCCTCGCAAGATATGCACTTCATGTTGCGGTGTTCGAAGCCAAACAAAAACAGGGAAGAAATTTCAACAACATGTAATTTCATTTTCATCCATTCATCATTTATGCTGGCATATTGGCTTCATCTCCACGCTTTACTTTTCCTTTTAATTACGAGATGCCACTGAATTATTCGACTCCTTTATCTGGAAGGGGCCCGCCACTTTGCTTTCCATGTACTGTAAAGGGCCACGTCTCGCTTAAGCCTAGAAAGTATCCGAGGAAACTCATTTATATATTGGGATTTTATTTTCCAATGTCTTTTTTCTTTACCTACACTCTTTTTTATTTTTTTTAAATATTTTTTAATCAATTTTGTTCTTTCTCATTCCTTTTTTATCCTTATTCTACATTAATTTTTTTTTTTACTTCACTTTATATAATTTATTTTTCTTTACACTTAATTTTTCAACTTACACTCCATTTTCAGTATTTAAGAAAAAAAAAATACTTCATTTCTTACGCGATTAAAAGAAAAAAAATTGAAAATGAAGTACAAGTTGGAAAATTAAGTGTAAAGAAAAAGAACTAACATAAAAGTGAATTAAAAAGAAATTAATGTACGGTAAGAGTGGGATAGGAAAAAGAAAGAACAAAATTGATTAAAAGATATTAAAAAGCAAAATGGAGTATAAGTGAAGAAAAAAAGGAGTGGGGAAATCACATCCCTATACATTCTATTTTTGGTGAAGAAAAGATTTTATAGGATTGGGCCTTTCATATATTTGGGCTTGGTATCTCATACAAAAAGATTGGGTGTGTAAGTGGCAGAGTGCTGCTTTACCTTATGACCATATATTTTTACTTTTCTTGGGTCATATTTGGGCTTTGATTACCAGACACAAAAGATCTGTAGAGTTGGGCTAGATTTGGGAAAGTTCATTATCTAATTTTGTTGGGCCCTTTTGGTCTAGGGCCCTAAACCATCGCCCTCGGGGTCCATGCCCAGACCTAGCAAAGGATTAGTATATTATGAAGGGAAAATGCTAAAGGCACTAATTTTGGGCACCAACTCTCTAATAGAGCGCGGGCCCCGATGCATTGGCGGGCCCCACCTCTATTAGAGAGTTGGTATCTAAGTTGGTGCCCAAAGTTGGTGCCTCTAACACCACCCATTATGAAAACCGTAGCCTAAAACATAATATCCGAAGCCTAAATCTCTCAAAACAGGTCAAAGAAAGAAAAAGAAAAAGAAAAAGATGAAGCGGATGGAAACATCGATAAAAACAAAGAGCAGATTGCCAAATGCTTTTGGTTTGATGCAGATTGTAGATGCATATTCTTTTACTTTTGATGGCATGCATTGAAGCACAGAACCTTATCCACACCCCCCAGCAGCAACTAGCCAACAACAGCCGAAAGTAACAAGAACCTACCCTCTCCGACAGCGGCGGATCCAGGAATTTTTCAGCGGAGGTGTAATTTTTAAAAGCTAAGAGCTCAAAAAAAAAAAGAAAAGAAAAAGGGACAACTAAACATCTCGGTATTCACTCGAAATTAATTAAATACATAAATAATTAATTAAATAAATAAAAATTAATTATACCTTGAATAACGTGTCACGTAGCCCGATATTCACTCGAGTTTGCTACTGATCTTACTAATACAGAGAGAACTAAATAACCACACAAAAAAATATATTAAAAAAAGAATAAACAAAATTGGAGTTTGCTCAAAGAAAAAAAAATGCATTCAACTTACTTTGGATTGGCCTACTCAAGAAGGAAAAAAAAAACGCAGGATTCTTGTGATGCTCACACACTTTGATGAAATTGGGTGATGTTAAATTGGTCTTTTATAGAGAGAATTCTCAATCCTACTTAATTAAGGAATTCCCAAAACCCAATTAAATAAAGATAACTTTCAATTAAAACCCAATTAAGTAAGGAAATAAAACTATTTGAAAAGCCCACAAAAAAGCCCACGTTCAGCATCAGTTTCCCTTTTTTTATTATTTAAAAACCCTGGTCCAAAACGACGTCGTTTTGGCCAAGCTTGGTTTAAAAAAAACATGCACGCAACGCGCACAGCAGCAGCAGCCTGCAGGCAGGTAGTCTCTTGCGCATTTCATCAAACACCTTATGTGCGTTGCTGGTCTGAAGCAGAGGTGCAACTCCAGCACCTCTAATGGTGATTTCCGGCGACCGGAGGTGCAAGTGCACCTCCTTGCGATTGCACAGATCCGCCAATGCTCTCCGAAATATCCAATCAAAGTAACTCCTCTAAAAGCAAAGCTTGTACCTGAAAGTGAAAACCATTTTTTTAAAGGGGGAAAAAAAAAAGCAATCCAGAAATTAGGGTTTTTCAATCTTATCTAATCTCATTGTAATCGTCTCATGTTTGCGACAAACATTAGATTGGGATTGTCAATAACATGTATATAAGATGTACCGCGTGGCCGTACTACAATGCCGACCCTGATTTTTGAGTGGCCGATGACCAAAAATTAAAATGAGGCCCTTAATTTGACTTTGTATGTAATCATAGTTTAACCAAAAAAAAAAAAGATTTTACACATTTATTTTCTTAGTTGTTGAATTGAAATGAGGGAAGAAAACTTCTCACCGAAGGAGTAGTAGAGGATGCAACAATATGTTCATAGATTTTGATTACAAGTTGCGGATGACTTCTCTTTAGGTCTGCGTACTCATCGCTTGAAGCAAGCTTTTCGATGTTGTTTGTGATCAACATCAAGGCTGCGTCGATGATCTGCTTGTCGTTATGATCATGGCCGAAGGTGTAGGTCGCAAGTGAATTGTCCCAGTTGAGGTTGGACACTAAGAACTTCTGGCACAAGTCTTTGAGATGATGCAGTTGGTACTTTTCAGCCACTACAAGGAGTTTACGGGCCAATTGCTGATCAAGGCATATCTCGGCCGTGTAGAGGTAGTTGATCAAGGCACCAAGTTCTTGGAGCGACAATTCGTAGATATGGATTTCTTTTGTCTCGTTATGAAGGAGGGCTTTGAACACCGGAGAACGGCTTGCCTAATCGAGTGCAGCGAAAATAGATATGGTTCAAAAGGAATTCAAAAGTGTACATTGGACAAAAACCAGATAGAAATAGAATAATAATATTTTCCCAGGAACATGTGAAAACCTGTCTGCATATGATCAACAATAATTAGGAGCAAACATTAAAGCAATTATGATGCTCATAGGCCATATAACATCACAACAGCGTCCATATAATCAAACAAAAGTTTGCCTAATGTGTTGAAGATTCAATTTCTACGGCAAAGAGTTTTGGTTAATCAATATGTCTTTTGGTTTAATCAATATATCATTTGGCTAAATGGTACTATATATACACATAATTCACTAACCGTTTATTACAAATCACAATTTGACACATATCACTTTAATGTATATCTATAAATAACTTGTCCAAAGCACAAAATATTTTTATAACCATTAATTGGGTGGTTAAATGGTTTCAAATTCAAATGAATTTTTGTATCGATGATACTTCAAGAAATGCCTAAACGATAAATGCTTTGGATCATTGAAATACAATGCAAAATGTGCATGTGCCTCAAATAAACTTATTTGAACAATCTCTCTACTCAATTTTAATTATAATATATTTAAATAAAGAATATTTAATTTTAGAAATCAATGTACATCTTCATCCTTAGAAGTTTATAAATATAATGGTTTAAAAATTGTATGATATCTCTGTAAAAACTATCATGTGCATATCATCCATGCAAATTGATTATCCTGACAAAAAATCATGCAAATTAAAAATTATTAAAGAATCTAATTGAAACCAAGAAAATCAATGAACACATTAATATAAACACAAAAGGTAAAGTTTGGACATGACAACCTAGTTTCCAGGAATAGTAAAATTAACATAAAGCCACCAAAATGTTTGAACAAAAATCACTGCTGAAGTAAAGTAGCAAGTTGGCGAAATGGGCACTGACCAAAACGGCCTCATGGGCCCAAGCTCGTGCATGGCCCTTGGGATGGCCGTTGTCCGAGGCTAACAGAACGACGTCGGTGCAGAAGTTTAAGGAATACCGATTGGACATCGCGAGAAAAGCGACCTTAGCCTTGAGGTCCTCGTAGCACTGCTTGCAGGCGCCGGCATCTCCGTTGTATTTGCCCTCGCAAGATATGCACTTCATGTTGCAGTGTTCGAAGACAAACAAAAACAGAGAAGAAATTTCAACAACATGTAATTTCATTTTCATCCATTCATCATTTATGCTGGCTTATTAGCTTCATCTCCACGCTTTACCTTTCCTTTCATTACGAGATGCCACTGAATTATTCAACTCCTTTATCTGGAAGGGGCCCGCCACTTTGCTTTCCATGTCTCGCTTAAGCCTAGAAAGCAAAGTACCCAAGGAAACTATCTCTCCTTTTGGTGAAGAATGGTTATTGTAGGATTGGGCCTTTCATATAATTGGGCTTGCTATCTCATACAAAAAGATTGGATGTGTAAGTGGCAGAGTGTTGCTTTACCTTATGACCACATGTTTTTACTTTTCTTGGGTCATATTTGGGCTTTGATTACCAGACACAAAAGATCTGTAGAGTTGGGCTAGATTTGGGAAAGTTCATTATCTACTTTCGGGTAATGAGAAAACTTTATTGCCTCGTGCTCCCTCATCAAGTCACTCGATCACTTTATCAATGTCTACTTTTTAATATAAATTAGAGCGATGTGATTCAAACTTGATATCTCTTTCAATCTTATCTAATCTCGTTGTAATCGTCTCATGTTTGCGACAAACATTAGATTGGGAATGTCAAGAACACATATATAAGATGTGCCATGCCAACCCTGACTTTTGATCGGCCCATGACCAAAAATTAAAATGAGGCCCATAATTTGCATTTGTATGTAATCATAGTTTAACAAGAAAGAAAAAAAGATTCTACGCATGTATTTTACTTTGAGGATAAATATAGTTGTTGAATTGAAATAAAATAACAAATGCAAACTATCATATAGTTCAACAACAACAACAAAACCAAACCATCAAACTGATTACTTGCATATTTGTTCAAGATTTGAAGTGATTTTGATTTGGGATTTTGAACTCCCCCAGAATCACTTTCAACATGAACTTCAATAATTTATATGACGTATGCGAATATAAATTGTGTTGGGCCCCTTTGGTATAGGGCCCTAAGCCGTCGCCCTCGGGGTCCGTGCCCAGACCCGGCCAAGGATCAGTCTATTATGCAAACCGTGGCCTAAAACCTAATATCCGAAGCTTAAATCTCTGAAAAGAGGTCAAAGAAAGAAAAAGATGAAGTGGATGGAAACGTCGATACAAACAAAGAGTAGATTGCCAGATGCTTTTGGTTTGATGTGGATTCTAGATGCATATTCTTTTACTTTTGATGGCATGCATTGAAGCTCAGAACCTTATCCACAACCCCCAGCAGCAACTAGCCAACAACATCCAAAAGTAACAAGAACCTAACCTCTCGGAAATATCCAATCAAAGTAACTCCTCTGAAAGCAAAGCTTGTACCAGAAAGTGAAAACCAGTTTTTTTAAGGCAAAAAAATAAAGCAATCCAGAAATTAGGGTTTTTCTAGTTGTGGTGTGTGCGGTAGGGTTTGCATATGATAATTGACTGAAACTTTGCATGAGACCCAACCCTAAGATGACACGTTAGGCCTCACATGCATGCCCCCTTGATGTATACTGCTTTGGAGTTTTGCATTCATAATGAAAACTCTATTGGAGTTAGGTTTACTTGAAGTAGTGGTCCTGACTCGAGAAATTTTGCTGTATTTATTTATTAATTAATTAGGATTAGCTTCATCAATTTCCTAACACACACAAAAGAAGAAGAAGATTAGCTCCATGAATCTTATCTTTTGCTTTCCTTTTTCTACAATATTACGTCCTTGTTCATTTTTCTTCGTACCCCTATTGGCTCTCTACCTCTTTTGTCTAGTAACCACCCAAAAGTAAGTTCGATATTATCAATAGGTTTATCCAAACGCAACTTGGATATAACGAACTAAACAAAATGTAATTGTCTTTCGGCTATAAAGATAATTTCATAACTTGTACACTTCAGATTATTGAAATACAATACACAGTGAGCCGACAATGAGCTCTTCAAATGAAACTTTCTATATATATACCCATAAGAGTGATGTCACCTGATTTATGCATGCAATGCAAGGGTTTAGCCACTTTACGAATGATCCAATGAATTTACTACAGATCGATTGTTTAGACAATGGCAAGAAGAAAACTCAAAGCAAAATAATTTGTCCCTTGAAATTTTTTCATTGCCCCAGTCGTGTTGCGCCATATGTATTGCCCCATACAACCTATATTTGTTTTTTTTTCCATGTCCTGGTTGCATTGCATGCCCATTATTGGAGGAAATTTATATGCATGAGTTGAAATATATGATTGGACAAGTCTTACAAGTTACAACAGAATCTCCTTCACCAGCTGCCTTCAATTTCTTATCTTGAGACTAAAGAAAGCCTCTCTCTTTTTTTGGGGGGGGGGGGGCAATGATGAGAGCTTTGCAATTGACACTGAAAAAGGAAAAAAAAGTTTTATATTATTAAAAAGAGAGAGAGTCGTAATAATTTATGAATTAAAAAATAACAGTTCCGCTCACTTACGGATCTAAAAATAAAGTCCTATGAATCTCATCATCTATTTAATTGCTTCCATTTTATTGAATGGAAGAAAACGTTCAGCTGATTGTTGAGGATGAATTGATAACACGAAGTGCAGAATTGTAGACTTGGAAGTTGATGGGTAGGTAACTATCTTGTTAATCATGACTTTACCGTCTCTTTTTTTTTTTTCAAAGACTTAAAAAATGGACTTTTCTTTCTATTCAACAGTCTATTGATCACGAAATTTCGAAAGACCAAGTACATAAATATTCTAGAACTATGTGTATGCAAACATTGCTGCTAGACTTAAAATGTGAATATATTATATATAAATAGGTTACATGTTTATTGAAATTGAATTTTTTTAATTAATATCAACGATAGTCTAAACTATAAAATGAGGAATATTTCCCACACGCACTACACTATATGGGGATTCGAACTTGAGAGCGCTGATCTACACACCTTCCTTAAATATATATAGCTAAAATCGCCATTATATTCTTGATCACTTTTTAATTTCATTTGTATAATCACTTTTTAATATTTGAGTGATCGAGTCCACGTGCTGTAACAAAGACCTCAGAAAGAATGCAGTATTTTTAGCACCCCCCCATACTATTAGAGCCAAATTATTATAAAGTCAAACGCTTCCAAGAGAGATGCGCCATTGCCTTTGTGTTCAAGAAATTGGAGACCCTCATAATTGATTCATTGTATTATGTGCAACTGTGGAGAGTCACGCGTTCTTCTAGAGATATAAGCACACAACACGTGATGGCTTACCAAACCTGTTTCTTTTTCTTGTGTATCAATCAAACCCAACCCATAAACATGCAGGTTCAACACCCCAAAACATTTGGAAATGTAAAAGAGTTCAATTTTATTACAATGTTATAAATAGATATAAACTATGTAAATTAATAAATCTAAAGTCATTTCCCTTGTTAAACTACAAGGTGGGGAATTTGAACCCGAATGTCGCTGAGGAGCACATCTATTATAGCCAACTAGACTAAGTCACATCTGCCAACAAACATGTTTTATACACGAGTAATGCTTCATGTATTACCACACAACCAAAAAAAAAAAAAAAACACAAGTCTTGTGAGGGGGGAAATGCGGAAAAATAAAAACACCTAGAAAACTATATTGATGGAAAATAATATTACCAAAGAATAAGACACACTGGCGGAAAGTTGCAAGTGGAGGTGGGGTCCTAAAAGATGTGGCTTGCAAAAATGACAGAATACGTTAGAAGTGAGCAAGAAAAGCCATATGGTTTATAAATGTAGAAAATGACAAAAACATGGACCCGAAAAAAACTATTTAAGAAATGAAAAATAGTGGGCGGAATTGGGGTTTGCTTCTTGAAATACCAAACTGTGTCAGCTCTCTTGTCTCCTTTTGATTTCACATGGCAAGTGTGAGGAATTTAAAAGCAAGTGCAAAGACAGAAAGCTTAAAGGGAAGCGACACTTGCGCTAGTAGCTGGGCAAAAAGAGACGAAACCCAAGTGGGCATAAGATCCATGTTTTGGGTTTACAAAACGTTCTACTTGTATTCGTTGCCCCTTCCTATTTATAGGTGAACTCAGAGGATAAAAACCCAAGATGACTTGAGGAATTGGAAACCCTAAGTGCAATTATGATCTTATCCGAACTAATTGATCTTATCTCTTTGATGATTTGATTCCTAGGAGATTACATGTTTTAATGTCTTGCAATGTGTTGTGCTACAAAAGATAAAACAAACTTAAAAAGGCAGTGTTTTCCAAATTGAGTCAATGAGTTTTAGAAAATAAGAAAGTGGATACAAGAGGTAAGGTTTTATGGGCAAAATGAGATACCTACCTTTGACTTGTGTGGATATAATTTGTAAGAGAGAAAGATCTATGCAATTTATTCTAAGTAGTCTTTAATTGTCAAGTTCGTAGGAGCTAATCTTAGATATAACAATTTGGATCTTTAACCATCCAATACGTAACTCCACAAATAAGGATTTTAAAACTTATGATCTAGTTGAATTGGTTATCATTATTATAATATTAATAATATAGATTAAACTCATGCATCATAAACTTGGAAAATAGATAATATGTTGACTTTTTGGGAGTCGAACTACTTACAACTAAAACGTTGTCGTTTGAGGTTTTTTAAAAATGCAAAAAGTCATTCTTGTCCTTGTAGATTATCACTTTTATCGTTAAGATCCATGTACTTTTAATTTGATCAATTTTGTTCCTGTAGTTTCAATTCCAAGCAATTCACACTCAATCCCTAATTTTTATCAAATTAAGAGGGACATTTCGATCCAATCTTGCAGCCCCTTCCCAACCACATGATCCCATCGCATCCCTCCTCCCCCTACCGACCCAACCTCATCCTCTTAATACAACATGTTCCCACCCTATAGCTAGCCACAATCCAACCACCCACACAACCACCTCCTCCCCCTCCCGACCCAACATTATGCTCCCCTCCCTCCACCACATCCACCTCACTCTTATCAAATTGTAAACCTAATTCCATGCATTACCCAAAATTTCTCCTCATGAACCCAATTTTTTATATATAAAAAAAAGCGAGAGTTTAAGACTAAAAAGTCACACAATTGTTTATTCAAGATTGAAGGTAATGGACGTTGAGACTTGAAAACATAAGAAAAGCTTCATAGAGGCTGCTCTTGTGACTGTGGGAGTGGTTGGGAAGGGGTTGCTAGATTGGACCTATATGCCCTTATTTATTTGTCAGAAATTAAGGATTGTCCTGAATTGGTTGAAATTGAAAAATTAGAGGGACAAAATTTATCAAATGAAAATGACAGAAACCTTAATAGTAAAAGTGATAAACTATAGCAACCAAAAATGACTTCTAATCTTGAAAATTTTGGCATTATGGATTTAGAATTTGTACTTAAAAGTAACTATATAAAATAATTCGATTTCAGGTACAAGTACAAAATTCAGATAAGAAACCTGAGATCTATAGCCACAGGATGAACCCTGATATCTTAGCAACTAATGCCAACAGAAGATCCAATAATTCTCTTCCAAATTTGCCATTGAGCTGAGGCAATCCACCAAGAGGAGGTGATGGGTTTATAGGAAATTTCCTTGTCATGATATCAAGCCAATTAAATAATGTGAAAAAAATGATAAATGATCTGTAAGAGTCATGTTAGCAACTAAGCAAAGCAGCAGCAAGTGGGCATCATCCCCAACCCCACTTCTCAAATCTTGACTTTAAAAATCATCCACTTACTGAGTGGCTAATAAAACAAAAGCCAGCAGAACCCAAACCCACTAAAACCAAAAGCTACCCATAAAAGCACCCACTTGGCCAACCAACCCAATTCAAAGGCAGAGAGTGGACTGTGACCAACAAAACTATCACCACCATGTAACCCTAGAGAAAATGTTCAATTTTTTTAACAATTTTAACTCAAAAAAGAAGAAGAAGATAATCTGACAAAGGCATAAAGCACTTTTAAAATATAAACCAATAATGGGCCCGAAGGAAAAACGCAGGCTTTGGGCTTATTATATAGATTAAAAAATTGCATTGTCGGTGGAGAGAGTGGACTCTCTCATGGATTTTTGATAACCCGCCAAGCTAAGCTAAGGCTGTATTTTTTTTGTGCCTCTCTCTTTCTCTCTTTCTCTCTCTACAAGAAATAAAGAGAGAGAAAAATAAATAAAGGAAAAGGCTTTTTACTCTTTCTCTCTGTCTTTCTCTGGAAGCGTCTGTCTTCTTGTATTGCCTCTCTGATATCCTCATTTGTGGAGAAAGAAATAGTTTGAGAGATTGGGATTGGGAGTAACCAAATTTATCAGAAATGAGCAGTGGTGGTGATTCAATGGAGGCGCAGTACATACAAAGGCACCACAGGCATGAGCCCAGAGAGACCCAGTGCACTTCGGCTTTGGTTAGGCACATCAAGGCCCCTGCGCATCTCGTAAGTCTCTCTCTCTCTCTCTCTCTCTCTCTCTCTCTCTCTCTCTGTGGACCGTCTGGTCGAGCTCTGAATTCTGTTTCTTTTGATTTGATTGGTGTTGGTTTGTTTGACTTTTGTTAAAGAAATGATTTTTGCTATGTTTGACTTTCTTGGTTTATGGAGATCTGGGAAATTGGAGACGATTTGAAGATGTTTTTGGTTTCTTTTTTATGTTTATTCTTCTGGGTTTTCGTTGTTTTGGTTCAATTGGGTCGGGTATGTGTTAAGAATTAGGTGATTAGCTTTTGGGTCTTTTTAAGATTCGAGTTTGATTGTTATTTTCAATGAATTTGTGGTTACTGAAAGTATTTTTGGTAACAGAGGATGATAATTTGTATTATAATTGACATGCAGCTTCAGCTGGGTTTGGTTTGCATGCCATTTTGGAGGCTGCAATCTGATTAGGGGAATTGAATTTTAAATAGCTGGGCTTAATATGTCTTGAAGTTTTCCCTTACACAGTTTGTTGTATTGTTTTGTATGTTTATAATCCATATGGTTGCTGAAAAGTCGTAAGAAAGTCTAAAAGAAAACTAAGAATTGAATGGTTTTTTCTTTCACCATTTATTTCTTCAAACTTTAGCTTCTACGGAGAGAAAAGCAAGTTGGTACAATTTCCTTTCTTACACTTTCTCAGTAACCAAACAAAATGCTAATATTTTAATGGCAGAGATCTAGTAGAAGTTTCGCAGCTCTTGCTTTGACGCCTAACTCATGTTTGATGTGTCTTTTATCAGGTATGGTCATTGGTGAGAAGATTTGATCAACCGCAGAAGTACAAGCCCTTTGTTAGCCGATGCACCATGAAGGGGGACCTTGGCATTGGGAGCGTTAGAGAAGTGAATGTTAAATCTGGGCTTCCTGCAACGACCAGCACTGAGAGGCTGGAGCTTCTTGATGATGATGAGCACATTCTTGGCATCAAGATTGTTGGTGGTGATCATAGGCTAAGGGTAAGACGTCTTCTTGTCTCTTTTGCCTACTTCTGTGGACTTCCTTTATCCAATTTATTGTATAATAGGAAGTGAACTTTTCTGGTGGTGTAGATGTGAAAGGAATTGTAAGAAATACCACTAAGATAGCTGCACTCTGCTTGCAAACTAATCTGGTCGTCTACTTAGCCCTTTTGTTCTTTTGCCATGCAAATGTGGTGTATTCCACAACTCCAGCGGTATACTTATGGTGCACAGTCTGCGTAACTGGTTGGAGATCACCATACTGATAACTGGTGACATCACCATGGATGGCTATGTTAGTATTTAGATAGATTAAAGTAAAACTTGTGGTACACATGGCAGAACTAAAAACAAGATATTTCGGCACAGAACTGTTTCTTTCTGCATGTTTAAGGTTTTCATCTATGTTAATTTGTGACTGTGTTCTTTAGTAAGCAGAATATGTCATGAATGACCCCATTTAGCTTGGAGTTCATTGCTTTTGTCAAATTTTATTTTGAATATATCCATTTGCCAAAATTCAAGTAATAGCTCCGGTCCTGACGACTTGGACCATCTGAGTATTAGAGTATGCACTAGAAACCTTAACATTTGTCTTTCCATGAATTCATAAATGTAGAAGCAAGATGGCTAGTTACTGGTTAATGACATCACTGCTTATTTGTCTCTGGCTGTTCTTAAGCACATGGAAAATGAGTTGCCACCCTTTTGATGCTTAAGTCACAGTTCCAAAGTCAGTAATTGATTTGTTCCACTTTCTCTTTATAAAAAGAGTAAAGAGAATTTGTACAGGACTGCTGGCAACAGCTGCTTGTTGGTGACAGCCACCGGCACTTAGACGTCGTTGGGGCCATGTCTTGGTCCCAACCAATTGCCTCACATGCTACATTGTGGTGGGCCATGCATGTAACATGTGGCCCTTGAAATGGCAGGTGCCTGCAAATGTTGTTCCTTGGTGATTGCCCTAGGCAATAGTCAGAATGTGTCTAAAGATGTAATCTTAAAACGTGTAATATTGCCCTTAGCAATATTTGTCTGGTTCAGTCTGTTTGTTTTAGGCAGACAAGGCTGCCAGCATCTCTGCCTTCAACTGCAGTATGCATTTGCTTAATTTATATAAATAGTGAATTAATTTTCTGTTTTTCCCTTAATATTTGAAAATTTCTCTATACTCCTGTATTATAATGTGGTAAGAGAACACCTTTCCAACCTCATTTCTCTATGTCCTTTAAATTTGCAGAATTACTCGTCAATTATTACTGTCCACCCTGAGGTTATTGATGGGAGACTAGGGACACTTGTTATTGAATCCTTTGTAGTGGATGTGCCTGATGGGAATACCAAGGATGAGACATGCTACTTTGTTGAGGCCCTAATCAGGTGCAACCTGAAGTCTTTGGCTGATGTCTCAGAGAGGATGGCTGTCCAGGACCGAACCGAACCTATCAATCATTAGTGGATTTGGGGGATGGCGCAGGAGTACGATGACTATAGCTATACCATCCATGTTTTTTTTTGGTCTCAGATGCTGTGTAGAGATAGTACAAGCTTTCCTTCCATTCACAGAAGTTTTGGGAACATTGCTGGTTTTTGCATTTCTGACCGATGAAGCTCCTTCTACTCTCTTTCCAATTGCTCTTGCATAGTCTTAATTACTCTCAAAATGACGCTGGGGTTTCTTGTATTTGTATTTGAAGGACGAGCTTTCTAGGTTTTTATAAGCTCTCCATGAATGGAAAGGGAAAGCGACTGTGAGTTTTATTGTTCCTGGGTTTCGTGCATGGTGGTATTAATGTTAGTATGACTCTGATCTGTAAATATTTGTCTTGGAAAGAGATGGTATCTATGGACTGGGGTTTTTCATCTTGTAGTGCAGGGAGGATTCAGGGGGGAAGAACCACTGCTGCAGTTGTTGTTTTGTATATACCTATGTATTCGCATTCTTAATAAATTATTGTAATTGCTTGACTTTCTGCTTTTTTACTACTTGGATTATATGTTGAAGTTTCAATAAAAAATGACATATTCTTTGTTATATAAATTTTAATGTTGTAGACTTAAATGAAACTCACTGCACATATCGGTGAAATACGGAACCCTGAGGACTTTTACATGTCAGGGTCTTCCTGGTAACCTGAATTCCATTAACCTTGTATTAACATTTATAGGTTGAGATGCTACAAAAAGTTTCCATTATTTAATCTCAACCGTCCACCACCCCTGCATCGCTGAGCCCTATACCTATTTAGGGACTCCATTATTAACAAACTGTCTCAAGCAGTCATCAGACAGGTGCAAGAATAGCGTGTAAACTTCACAACAACCTGAACTCTTGCTGTAAAGGTTCGTGCATCTGCTTTGATCTTAGCTCTTTCGGAGCCGATTGAAGCATCCAGTATCCTCCCCCTCAGAATGGGTGATGGCAATGTAGGATCCAAGAGGGCATCTAACTCCCTTCTTACCAGCAGTCATTGCAGGTACACTCTCCTTCCCTGAAATGGTGAAACCGGATACCATCCTTCATGAAAATCTCACATTTACATACTAATGACATGTATTTTGCTGCTGTATGACAATCAGAACAAACTCGTGTGTTCTTAATCACCCGGATAGGTTCTCCACTTTTCATATTCATCAGTCCAAAGGTAATGGCCAGCTTCTCTGTGTGACTTAGCAGCAGCTTCTTCTTCTCCACCTCATCAATGTTCTGATGTACACAGCTAATATCAGGCTCATAGCCTAATTTCTTCATTTCATGAACCAAATGATACAATTCAAAATATATTTTTCCTGCATCAGTGTGAGGCTTCCCTTCTGCAGAGAACATATGAATTGCCTGATCAATTTGTATCCAGCTCCACACAGGTCCATTTTTCACCCCTGCATTCTTCATCGAGTCTTTAAGACGCTCCACATCATCCCATCTATTTGACATAGAATATAAGTTCATCATCAAGATGTAATTGGCTGGGTTATGAGGTTCCAACTCAAAAAGATTCTTTGCTGCAATCTCTGCAAATGCCAAGTTTTTATGGATTCGACAGGATGCAAGAAAAGCACCCCATATAGTGGCATCCGGCTTTAATGGCATCGTTTGAATAAAATCCCAAGCTTCATCAAGATAACTAGCTCTTCCAAGAAGATCTACCATGCAAGAGAAATGCTCAATTGTTGGAGCTATGTTATAGTCTCTGCTCATGCTATCAAACAATTTCCATCCTTCATCAACTAAACCTGAGTTCTTGCAGCCAGAGAGCAGAGCTGTGAAGGTTATAGCATCTGGCTGCACACCTGCTCCTCGCATTTCATCAAACAGAGAAATAGCCTCTTTCCCAAAGCCATAAATGGCAAATGCCATAATCATGCAATTCCAAGAAGCTAACGTCTTGTTCTTAATCTTCCTAAAAACCTCATGGGCACTTTTGAACTTTCCTGACTTACTGTACATGTTGATAAGTCCTGTGGCTACAAATATATCCTCAACAAAACCTTTTCGGATACAGAGGCAATGTATCTCTTCACCCTTGTGCAACAAAGATAGGCCTGCACAAGCTTTAAGTAGGATGGATACGGTGGCAGAGTTTGCCCTGATACCTTCTTCTTGCATTTGGATAAAAAATTTGAGGGAGTCCGCGTAATTCTCATTTTGTGAACAGCCTGATATAAGAGCAGTCCAAGAAACCACATTAGGGGTTAACCCTGAACTTTTAATCCGATGAATCGTTGATAAAGCTTCCTTATGGCGACCCCACATTGCATACCCTGAAACCAGACCATTCCATGTGACTAAGTTGGGTTTGATTCCTTCCTCACCAATGCTATCTAATAGCCGTTCAGCATCTTCAAAAAGACCCTTGAAGGAATACCCTGAAATCAATGAATTCCAAGCAAAAATATTCTTGTTCTTCATGTTAATGAAGACATTTTGAGCACTGGACAAACAATTGTTCTTCACATACATGTCCACTAACGAAGTTCCTACATAAACATCATAGTCATCAAGCCCATTTCTTAAAACAAAACTATGAATTTCCTTCCCGTGTTTCAGGAAACATAAATCAGTAACTGCTTGAAGAACACTTGTAATGGAGCTTGAATTTGGCTTGAAGCCTGCGTCTTGCATTTTCTGCAAGATGGCCTGGACTGCTTCATATGAGCCATGAAGAGAATGTCCTGACAAAAGACAATTCCAAGTCACAATGTCTGGCTTCACATCAGACAATTCCATTTTATCGAAAAGAATCCAAGCATCATTCAAACAACCAAGTGCAGCATAAGAAGAGATAATTGAATTCCATGATGACAAATTATGACCTGCCATTGAATTAAAAACTGTCCTAGCTAAATCTAGTCTGTCATTTCTGGAGTACATGCTAATAAGTGAATTGCATATTGACAAATTTGACTCCAATGCCCATCTTAAAACATACCCATGAATTTGCTTTCCTTCTTTGAGAGCTCTAAGTTTGCCACATGCTTGGAGTGCTTTGACAATTGTAGTACTGTTGGCTTTAGCAGATGAAAACTGCATACTTCTGAACATTTCCAGAGCCTCCACACTTCTCCCATTCTTCAAGTTGAGCTTGATTATCTCATTCCACAAAATGTCTTCTTGATCAGACATTTCATGAAATAACTGATTGGAACTTTCTATTCCCCAACAAGTCCCATAAAAATTAATCAATGCACACTTCAAATACACATCCAAATCAAATCCACTCTTGATTAAACAAGCATGAATTTCCAACCCAAGCCACAAATGCTTCAAACTTGTGCAAAGTTTCAAAACTGTGCAAAGAACTTTGCTATCAAGCATCAATCCCCCACTATGAAACTCACAAAAAAACTCAAGAATTTGTAGGTCACCCCCAAATCTTCTAAGTTCTTCTAGTGAAGAACTCCATGAACGGTAATCTTGTTCAGAACTCACAGAGAAAGCCATTGCAGCTGATCTACAATCACCAAATTCCATGTAATATGTGACCAAATTTTTTCCCTTAGTATCAATACAATTCTTGTTAGACATTTTTATCATCTGCGCATGCATTGCTTTCACTGAATTCAAAGTTTTGAGCTCACCTAAGTCATCCAAGAAGGTAAAGCTTGAAGATAGTGTTGGCAAAGAAGATGGAAGAGAAGGAAAGAATTGGGAATCACAAGGAGCAAGAGTTGGGGGTGAGTGGCTTGTGGGAGGCTTGAAGCTTAGTGGGTTTTGAAGGAAAGGAGTGGTAAGGATGTGAAATGGAACTACTTTGTCCATGGAGGTTTGATAGTTAACCAAGAAGGCTAAGGTAGTTTGGCAGTGAAAAAATGGCAGTTGAGAGAATATTGTGGAACTTTCATTTGTGCTGCAATTGGAAACTGGAAAGTACATGGAAATTTGGATTCTTTTGGATAAGGTTTATCCTCCTACATAATTCTGTTGAACCGGCCGGTTCAGTCAAAGTGGTTGTTGCCCCGGCCCGACCCGGAGTACTAAGCCTTTGTATATACCAAATTTGTCACTATGCCTCCGAGTATGTATAAGTGATCAAGTGGCAAGCAATTTAATTGGTTGAGTTTGATACTTTATGCTTGCTATCTGTTAGTCAGATTTTGGTGTTGTCTTTATATTTGTTGGTTACTTAAAGTCTTTCTTTTTCTCCTTTTTTCGGGGATGGGTTGTACTTTTTGTACATCCAAGTGTTAAAACTAAAAATAGAAATTTACACAAATACTTCAAGAGCCATAGCCCATATGTGCCAAAAAAATTATTATTATTATATAATAAGTTTCTTGATTAACTTCGTTAGTTTGATATACATTGTCATCTCATTTTTTGACAATTAGGTTTTTGACATTTAGGGGTTGTTTAACGAGGTATCAAAACTTTAGTTCTTAGAGATTTAAGTTTTGCACCTACGTTGTCAACATTTGTATGTCCTTCCATGTCTAGGATGAGAGAGGCTACATGTACGGTGATATCTCTAGTTAATAAATTCATGAATATACGCATACATATGTATTTTCAGAAAACACTTCCATTTTTCTTACACTTCTCAATTATTTGAAAAAAATATGCATTTTTTTAGCAAACGTATTGTACGCATATTATATACTTGTGTAATTATTTTTCACCAATAATACACATTTTTCGCACATTTTATATTACGACACACATTATTCACCTATTCAATCTATATTTTTTTACATTAATTTTTTTATAAAATGGTTGAGATTTTCACCATATAATCTTTAAAATTTTGCCCAATAATACACATACATATTATACTCGTCACATATTTTACTAACTATAATGGTATATCTAACAAGCCCATCTATACATACGATCTGCACGAAGTCTCAATGTACTATTGGTAAGATATATTCGTATATATTAAAACTATTTCTTTAATTGTACATACAATACTATATCAAAAAGAAGTTTGGAATCTTCTTCAATACAAGTATTCCTTCATGATGAAGAAGAGCCACACTTTCTTTCACTTGTTTCATTCGCGTTTTTAAGATCGGAGATGCCAATCGCTTTGCCATTTCTCAGAAACATCAATCTTTTGAGTGCTCAGCCTTCAGTTCAATCTTGTGACTGCCGGTGGCTTATATAGCGCACCTATTCATGGAGCTGGAGATTCTGATATATACAATTTTTTCTCTGCTTCTTGGGCTGAGAAATCATGTCGTCTAAGAGTAGTTGATCACTTGCCGAGATGTTTCAGTGAACAGTTGATGCAGCCAAGAACATCATGGGGTTATAACTTGTACGTTTTTCATCATTTTTTCTTGCATATGATAACCACAAGGTCCTTTATATATCAAGTTATCTATTATAGTTTTGTTGTTTCTCATAATAATTTTATTGATTTTTTTTTTGTTTTGGTTCATTTATATATCTTAAAAGGAAACAAGCTTACATGATAATTGTAGAAGCAAAATATCTCCTCCTAGGTCAAATAATTAAGCCAATCAATTTGGGAATTATTTGACCTAATTGAGAGTTACCTAATTTAATTGGGACGTTATTTGATTTAAATGTGATGTATTTGATTCTTGCCTTAATTAGGGATTTGATTTAAATCAAATCCCTAATTACACTAACCTCGCCAAATCGGGAAGAATAATTCATTTCCATCTACGGAATTATTATTCTGAAACCCTAGCCTCCGAGGCCCCTTATAAATAGATGGCTACGCACAAGGGTTAAGGTACGTCTAAATTCCTACTGAAACTCTGCAGAAATTATACTTCACAAACCCTAGCCGCCATATTCTTTCTCTCTCTCACACAAGGCTCCGGCCACCACACACGGCTCCGGCCACCCGATTTTCCTATAAACACCCAACCTAACTTAGACACCGGAGGGCCTTTGGCCAACACCCCTCGGGTGTGGTCCTTTTACTCTGATTTGTTTTACAGTGAGAAAGAGAAGCAAAGAAGACGAAGGAATCTTAGGCGAATATTCTTGTGGGACGAAAATCGCTCTTACAATAATGTTTGATTATATTAAGATAAAAGACTTGAAAGACTGACTGGAAAAAAAAACAATAGAACTTGAAGTGGGAGCTCTTACATGAAAGCGCACATCTGTTCACTCTCCCTGAAGACTTGGAGGCTTTGAGTAATTAGTTAAGTGCATGAGCAACAAGTCCTGAGCTTAGGATGATCAGACAGGTATATATGGAAGCAAGGCAAGCCTTGTCCATACCCCGACAATGGCCTCCGGCTATGTCTCACTTGGTGAGGGAGAGATGACAAAGCCGGAAGCCCTTGAGGGGGAGGGAACAACCAGTGCCTTGAAGAAGCCTTATGCATAATGAGAGATATGCAAGCTCTTGTTATGTTTCTTAATTGTGAGTTGGGAATATGTACATATTTATAGCCGGTAAATGTGGGCTTATTGTATGCTTTGGTTGTACATAACTTTCCTTTTATAGCGTGCGTATAGGACCTCTCATATAATACTATGATTTGCATTCGCGTTTGCAAGAGAAGTGTTAGATATAATCGGCACATACAATAATTTTGGGGTGATAGAAAATAGGAAGAGCATTGGGTGATGGAAAATAGGAAGATACAACAATGGTGGTTGACATGAGTGGCATAATAAGATCCTCAGGGTCACTCAAAACCCAAATGGACAAAACCAAGTGGCCCTTGGAGCCCTATGCAAGTCAACCAAAATCCACAACAGCTGGAGAACAAAGCAATATATGGTTCCTCCCCATGTGGTATATATTCAACATTTGCAAGTCGGAACTTGTAGGGTTTGCGAGTTTCTTAATCCAATCACAAACATTTGAACCACAATTTTTTAACCCCCCAAGATTCTTAGATTCCCTCTCATCACATATCATCATGACCAGCTTCCAAATCTTCTTGAATATCTTTGCTTCATACAAAATATTCCTTCAACCCTAACACCCTAACACCTCTTCACCAATCCCAAATGGTATGCTTAGAAAGACTGCACGCTGTGCCGCATCTCACACCCCTAACCTTCACTTGAAAGTTGAAATCAACTTAATTAATATTAATTAATTAGTTGATTAGTTGATTAATTAGCATGATGAATAACGAATTGACGATTAGTGGAGAGGTTTACATAAAATAATTGAGAACCAATTGCATGTGGCCACATCATTTATCTCTTTGTTTCATTCGGATTGTACTACATATGCTTAGATGATTGTTAATGTTTTTGGTTTCTTACTACCTGCTTAGATTAGTTCACCTAAATGCAGCTGTACACATCAAAACAAGTGATGAGCATATAAGTACAATCTAAGTTAAGCTTATCTTTTTGTTTTCATTGGGATTGTACTTTACCATAACCCTAACCTACTTAGGTTACTCCTTGTTTGCATTCTAGTTTCATTTGTATGTACTTGCACAACAATTAACGTTGATCCCAATAAAAAAAGTAAAAGATGTTCTTTTTTTGTTGGGTTCATCTTCAAATGTGAGATGATAAAACTTGAAAACATGTGATTTATGATTATAGTTGTTATTAAATACGTCGCCTTCACTTCTTCTCTTATTTTATTCCACCGTTGTCATTTGTATATTAAATAAGAAAATTGAGATCACTACAAAGTTGATGGGTTGATAATTAACACTAGTACTTCAAGTTTAGGAGTAATTCGTCTTAACTACTTGAGTTATAAGCTTCTCCCTTGCCCCTTAAGCCTACAAAGGATGAAGAGTGGATTCTGAGCGACATGCCGTTTATTTTCATCCAAATACATTGACGCAAAGTGTGATACATGACATGTCGTTTTCAGCAACAAACCGAGAAATACTTGTCAGTTTCCTCTCAAGCCAGTAACGACACAAATGGCCAAGAAAAGAGACCGCCGAGTCGCGCCGAGTTCGAACCGCGGCAAATACCGAGTTGAATCGTCGGATCAATCCTCAGACCCAAAGCTCACAATCACCTTGGTCCTCTCCTTCTGCGTAGCTGCGGCAGCCGCTGTGCTCGCGTACCGCATCAAATATGCTCATCCGATCACGAACCGTGCGCAGTCTTACGTGCACCAGCGAGGCCTCGTTAAGATTGATGTGAATTACCAAGAAATCCTCACTGCAAGTACCCCACTGGTTACTAGCTTGTTCTGTTCTGCGTTTGGTCTGTTTGGTTGCCGAGAAAATGTGGGAAAATGAGAGAAACTGAAGTTATAGTATACTATCTTTTAGCTTTTATTACTCGGGAAATGCACGAAAGATAAGAAATTTTTTGTGTTTGGATTTGTCTCAAGCTTTTCCCAGATTTCTCAGCAGCCAAACAGAAAATTTTATGATCCACTACTCTGTTTTGTATCATCGTGAAATTGAGAAATAATGTTCATGTTATTATTATTAATTTATTGTGGGAATTTCAGGAAAATGTGAAGGTCTCAGAAAATACGACTGGCAGGCACTATAAGTACCCTGTATTGGCCTACATCACTCCATGGTATGTCTTACATTCTGTTCGGCCATGGTTTTTTGGGATTGCATTCTATTCTCTGTAAAGTTTAGGTGTTCGAATTCCATTCTCTTGCACATCCTGTGGAACCAATACAACAAGAATTTTAGTTAACATTTTAAACAGGAAAAGAAAAGAATTTGGAATTTAAATATTTAAAAGTTGAGGAAGTCATTTGGTCCCTAACACACTCTGAATCGAGGTTTGTCAGTCTTTTGGTTTAAGATAGCTTGGTGCATTTGATATGATTCTGCACAGTTTTTGGTTATAAAAGTTTGATGTTGTCTGACAACGTAGGTATCTGGTTAGTAGTTTGTATAGCTGAGTTTCTCATATAATCATATCAGACATATTTGCATTAGTG